CCACCCTCATCCCCAGGCTGCCTGCCGTCTCCTCGGTGGCTTGCGGGGCCTCTGTGGGGTATGCCGTGACCAAGGATGGTGAGTGGGGCTGCCCACACTCGGTCTGGTCGGGGCCTGGGGGTTGTGATTCTCACCAAATTGCCTGGCAGACTCTGATGTCCACCGTCAGGTAGAGCTGAGATTCAGGGAGCAGTGTTTATGATAACATTATTTTTCTCCTGATTCTCAAAAGCTCTGGCTTTGATGAACTTAACGCGAATAAGTGAATTATTTTAATAAAGATGATTTGTTCTGTAGAGGAGAAAAAGAGCAAAGGGGAAATATAACCGAGACCTAACCAGGCAGGAGGACTTGAACCCAGGCCTCCAGATTCCTAATTCAGGCTTTTCTTTACATTTTCCACCATGGCGACCCTTTTGTTTACAACATGGTATGTGCCAACATCCCAGGAAGTTACACTTAGAGTTATATTAAGAGAAAGAAGGCTCCATAGTCAGGGTTCTGACAAGCACAGCAGTCACCAAAGCCTGAGTGGGTGGGTGTCACAGCCATGGAGGCCTTGAGAAGTCAGGCAGGTGGGGGTGCTTCATCTGGGATTACCTGGGAAGAGTTCCCAAGGGATTGGGGCTTGTACTGCACCTTGAAGGTTTATGATAAGCAAAGGAGGGCATCCTAGGCAGAGGAACACACAGAGCAGTCTCAGAGGTGGCTGGTCCTGGCAGTAGAGGGAGGTGTAGTGGTCTGGGGAGCGTTCTTGAATGCCATGCCTAGGAGTAAGGAGAAGTCTTTGGCAATGTGTAAGTACTGTGGTACCAGGATGACAAAGCTCTTATCCATCAGCTCCTTGACTTTTCCTGGCTTCCCTGAACTCCCAGGGGCTGGGACATTACAGACTGCAATAGGCCAAGGCTAAAACTCACCCTTATGACCCAGGCTTCTCTCAGTACAGAAAGGTGAGGCTATGGGTCCTGAAGACAACTGCCCTGTTTATCTCTCTTATAGGTCATGTTTTTGCCTGGGGCATGGGCACAAACTACCAGCTGGGCACAGGGCAGGAGGAGGATGCCTGGAGCCCCGTGGAGATGACAGGCAAACAGCTGGAGAACCGCATGGTTTTATCTGTGTCCAGTGGGGGCCAGCACACAGTCTTACTAGTCAAGGACAAAGGACAGAGCTGATGAAGCCTCGGAGGGCCCGGCTCCCAGCCCCTACACCCTCCCTCCTGGAACACAGAAGCTGTGATGACTACAGACTCCAGCAGGCCTCCCCCAGCCCCAAGTACTTGTCATCTCCTGCCTTTTTTCCATCTACAGAACAGAATCATCTTTTTCTTCCACCTTTCTGGAATTATCCTGTAACCTACAGGATGAAGGGAGAGGATGGAAAGGGGAGCGGGTTTTGTCAGAATGTTGCTCACCTGAGAACTATGTGATTAGACTGTTGCCCCTCATTCCTACCTTCCATGGTCCTGGCTGACCCTGGTTTTGTCTGCCAAAAGCCAAAACTTCCTTTCACGGGGGGTTGGTTCCCCAACTCTTGAGAAGTTGGGGCTCCATCAAGCCCTACTCTTAGTCTTGTGCCACTCTTCCTGTCCTCGATGATCCACGTGCAGACAAATGGTACAGTTGCCAGACCCAGCTGTCATGGACCTGCGCTTAGGGGAAACTGGAGAATGGGCAGGGCTACCAGCCATGGGCAAGCCCAAGCCAAATATTTGGCTCTGAACAGGTGTCCCTGGGACAGACAAAAAAAACAGTGATCCTCCACTTAATTAAAAAAGCCAATCAGCCTTTCTCCCAGAAGCACAAAGCATTCTGCCCTGCACTGCCGATCCAGCCTGCCGCACCTATAGCCAAGGGCCCAAAATCGGGAAAGGAAGCTATACCTGCAGAGCAGGACATGGGGCGAGAGGGGAGGGAGGGTTTTATAAACAAACATAGCAATATCAAGAGTGAAGGGAGGGCAGGGAAGAGGTTTGGATGGGCAGAGGCTGGTCCCCAGAAAGGGAAGCAGCAGCTTGTACAGTGTCTGAGAAAATAGCAAGCAGTTTAATTTTTTTTTAATGTAAAGTATTTTAGAAGGGAGAGTGAAATCTTTTAACATTTTGAATAAATTTAGAGTTTTATAAAACAGGCCACTTGTTTTCTACACACTCCCTGTTTTTTTAAGGGAGCATCTGTGGTGTTGGGAAGGGCAGGATAAACCCACACCTGTGAACTTGGTCAAGACTAGGACTTAAGGTGATGTCCAGATGTCCTGATATGTGCCTGTCAACTGTTGATGTGACTGTTCCTTGCAAATCCAAAAAAATTGATTTTTGCTTAGGTTTTTGTTTCAGGAATCAGTGTATTTTTTAAAAAGATTATGCTGCATAATGTGAGAGACATGGAATGGTTCTTTCAGCATCTGAGTCCCAAACCAGAACAATACACCTCTAGAAATACTTAAACTGAGCTTGCTGTTGTATCATTTCAACAGCTGATGTAACTGATTAAACATCATTGAGTACACAGTAACTCTTAAGACAACTTATGCATATTAATGTAGATTTTTACCAGCATTTGAGCAAACATCTGTTCAGTATAGTGGTCACTAGCTTTATGTGGCCATTTGCATTTAAGTCAGTTAAAATTTGTAAAAGTTTTAACTTCCTCTATTGCACTAGCCACATTTCAAGTCCTCAGTAATTACATGTGGCTAGTGTGATGGCACTGGGCTATGCAAATGTAGAAATATATAGAACATTTCTATAATTGCAGAAAGTTACAATGGACAGTGTTAATATAGAAGGTTTATATATGTATAACAGGAAAGTTTTATTAGTGCCAGGAGGATTCTTGGATGTAAGTGACTCTTGGAAAAATGAATATGATGTAAAATAACTTAGAAATGTATTCTGTGATTTTTACCCCCTTTGAACTTTTGATGCAGGCGCTATACTGATTAGAAATTCTTAGAAGGAAAAAAACTCACTTTTGATTATATTTGTAAAGAAGCACTTGTGTGTCTGCTACTCCCCCCGCCCCTTCCCTAACTCCAATTGGGTTAGATTTACAGAAATTTTTCCCCTTTTGACAATATAGCAGGTTGAAAGTACCCTGCTCTTAATAGCTTTTGTGGATTGGGACTTAGAATGGGCCAGGCATTGTGCTGAGCACTTTATAGGCAATAATATTTTATTTAATCTTCGCATCAACCCTTGAAAGTAGCAATTGCTGTCCCTCAGGGAACAGTCCCTGAGAGTTCAAGTGACTTGCTTAAAGTAAGTATGCAGGCTAGGCTGGAATGTAAATCAGCCTTTACCTGAGCCTGGCACCTCAATTGCTTTTCCTTGTATTGCATGGAAGAGTTATAAAACTCTGTGTTGCTGCCTTACATTAGAACAGTGTCAGGCACATAGTATGTGCTCTGTTAAGTCTTTGCTATTATGACTATTGCACTTTTTTTTTTTTTTTAATTTCCTGGAGTTAATTTAGTCACACCAAGTACTCAATTTTTTCTTCCCCCATCCTCCAACCTGGATTGGTTAACCACAAAATAATTGTAGTCATCGTACCCCATATGGCTCAGCTGTACGTAATGTTGACAAAGTAATAACGTAAGTGTTCAATACTGCTTTGACAAAAATTTTGTCAGAAGATGGAGAAGTGTGTATATAGGAAGGGTAGTTTAAAATATTTGAAACTGAAGAGAAAGTATGTTATTTGGAAATATGCAGATTGATTCTAGGGAAAAGATTTGGAAACTATTGCCCCACTAGAGTGACAGCTGGGAGTAAGAAAAATGGGGTAAGGGACTGCTGTTTATGACATAAATGCAGCAAATACTTTTTTAGTGCATATCCCAAACATTGTAGGAATTTGATTAGAAACAAATGTACAAAGATTCCTGTCTGATGACGCTTATATTCTAAATTAAGAATAAATATTTTTAAATTTACCATATTTTAAAAATAGTAAGTCAACAGGCACTAGCAAACGACTAAATATATCGATATGTTACAATCTGAAGGCCTCAACACCCTCTGAAGTAAGCACTAGTAGTATTCACATTAACTTGAGAAGTTAAAAAACTTGCCACAATAATTGCGGATGGATTGGGATTGGTGCTCCGTTTGTTTGAATCTACAGCCAAAGCACCCAACCATTACACTACTATTAACAGGGGGTAAGATAAAGCTGGGAATTTGGCAACTCGTTGAATCTCACGTTTTCAGGCCAATGAGTGTTTTTTCCTTAGGGACCCAACACCCCAAACTTAGGTTGTATAAGGGCCTCAATGGCCCGTCAGTTCAGTGGGAAGGAGCCCCAGAAAGTGGTCCTCAAGCATTTGGTATGGGAGAAAACAACTGCCAACAGAAACGTTCCATTCTGAGAAATGGGCACTAAAGTGAGGCGTTGGCCCGGGACACTCAAACTGAGAATTATTTAGTCATCGAAATCGTATTTACGGGCATGGCACTTTTATGGGCATGGCACTGTTCTGGGGCAGGTGGGGCTCAAAAAAGTGGAGTGACAAGACTTGGAGATTGACTGGTTGAGATGACAAGGTTGCCCCAATTTACACTGCCTTTAACGCTCTCCACGCCCAAGCAGGGCTGTACACGGGACTCCCGTTCCAGCTGGAACAAAAATCTCTTATCTTGCGAACTGGGTGGCTGACAGGACATACTCAGTGGAATGGGATCATCCGGGCTCCCAAAGGGCCTTTCACCTTTAAAAAAAAAAAAGCCTGTATTTGTAAGTTTTTACAATGAGCAGATATTACTTCCGTAATGTTGTATGTACGCATGTGTGCTTAAATACACAAAGTTAGAAAAAAAACCGAGAAAGCCAGTTACCGAGTAACCGTGCCACAGACTCTAACCAGAATTCGCCTGCAGGGATCCGGAAGCTCTGCGTCCCGCCCAGTAACACGGTCGCCGGAAGAACCCAGAGCCGCAGCAGCTGGCGCTGCCCTGGGCGCCAAGTTTCGGAGCGTGCGCAGAAGACGTCGTAAGCGCATGCTCCGTGGGCGTCCTCGACAGGGGTACTGGCGCGCCAGCGGGGCGCAGCCCGCTAGGTTCAGGTCCGGGTCCGGGCGCGGGCATGGCGGCCAGCCTGTGGATGGGCGACGTGAGTGAGAGGGGCCGTCCGGGTCCGACGAGGAGGAATCTTAGTGTCATCAGGGAGGGAGGGTTTGAAGGGGAGGGCATCCTCCAATCCCAAAAATATGAAAGTTAATAGGAAGGGGAGTTCTTTTGAGTGACACAGAAGCGGGGTCCCAGCATCCACGGGTGGGAGCTGAGTCTGAGGGGGAGGGGTCCTGGGGCCCTGCCTGGTTTCATGGAGGGGAAAGGAAGGCTTCTTGGGGAGTGAGCATGAGAGTAATCCCAAGGATTTTGAGGGGCTCCTTGGTTTTAAGCCTGCAGGGGTGGGGTTCCGAAATCCACGGGGAGGCCCCCTAAAAGCAGCACATATAAAAGGAAGGGATACAAGGGATTGGAAAGGTGGGAGCTGGGGTTCAGACCACTCTGCAGATGAAAACCTGGCCACACCCCCTCACCGCAGCCCGCACTGTGTGGCCAACCTTGGGCTGAGGGGAAGGGGCTCTGGAGGCGGACATGCGGAGCCTGCCTGCTGGCCTGAATGGCTCTGCCCTTGTATTTACGCAGCTGGAGCCCTACATGGATGAGAACTTCATCTCCAGAGCCTTTGCCACCATGGGGGAGACCGTGATGAGCGTCAAAATTATCCGAAACCGCCTCACTGGGTACGATTCTCCATCATCTCAGTTCTCCCTTAATTATGCTGCAGGTGTCATTCAGGTGAATGTAAACATCGCAGAGAGTCAGGGCTTCTCACCCCTAATAATGGTGATTATGTTATAAAAGCTGAATTTGGGGGCTTATTGAGAGGAAGTATAGCGTATGCATTCTGGAGCCAATCTGTGTTTGAAAGCTATGTCTGCTGTGTGACCTTTGGTAAGTTACTTAACCTGTCCGTCTACTTCACTTTGACTATAAAAATGAAAATGATTATAGCACCTACCTCGTAGAGTTATGGTAAAGATTAAATGAGTTAATTCATAGTCAGCCCTTAGAAGAGTGTCTGCATATGGTATATGCTCTGTAAATATAAACAGGTTATCTGTTAGATAATAAACACTTTAAAGTCACTTTTTAAAATCACAAAAACTTTTGAGCGAAGTACTGTTATTAGAGAAACTTGATGACTATCTTTAAGTTATACAGCTATTAGATGACAAGCAGGGACTCATTCAGTTCTGCCCTCAAAGCCATGAGTGCCTTTAACTCTTAAGCCATTCATTTAAAAATTTATTTATAGAGACTCTACTATGTACTGCTGTTCTAGATTCCCATGAAACAAGCCAGACATAGTCTCTCCTCTCATGGAGTTTACTATATTCTAGTGGGAGAATGAGATAATAAGTAGTTAAACAAAACAATACAGAGAATATTTTCAGGTGGTGGTGTTCTATTGCCTCCAGTTTCTTCTTTCTCTTTGGGGGTTAGTTTTCTTTAGGGTTCTAGTTAGAAATGGGAGGATTCCTCTATCAATTTGACAGTGGTTACTTGAGCACCTACTGTGTGCCAGTCCTCTACTAAAACAACTTGCTAAAACATGAAATGATTGAGCATATAGATGCGAGGTATGAAGTATAATCAGCTCTGACTTTGGATGACAGGTGATTTGTGTATTCAGAAGCCAAATGGCCAGGGACTGACTTTCTGACTGGTGGATCATGCTGGCATAACTATTTTGTTTGCTCCTGTAGACAGAAAACTCCAGATAATGAGCTCTAGTATGAAAATTTATTCTGTAATGCTTTCTATCATTTTAAACACTGACATAAGCTCTCACATTTTAATCTTTATTGAAATAAAATTTGGAACTATCATTTTCTAGCCATGATTACTAAATTCTGCTGTTTCTTACAGTACTTATGGACACACTGCATTTACATCCTGCCTCATCTGGCAAAGACTTTGAAGTGGCTTACAAGAATTGTGTAAATTGGGGGAGGAGGGTATAAGTGGACTAAATGGTTACAGAAAAAAATACAATAAAGATTAACTTTTTTAAAAAATGTATAAAATAAATCAATGTAAATTTAAAAACCAAGACCAGAAATAATAAGGGGAAAAGATAAGACTTAAGGGAAAATAATATGCAGTAGAGCATAGTGCTTAAAAAAACATTGCTGCCAAAAGAAAATTAAAGAAAAAATTTTTAAAAACAACATTAAAAAATGTAGTCAATGGTTGCACAAGTTGTTGTACTTCACACCACAGAAATGTACACTTAAAGATGGCTAAAATGATAAATTTTATGTTTTATGTATTTAACCACAATTTTTTTTACTTCAAGAAGAGCCCCGGCTAGTGTGCTGTGGTGTGGCTCAGTTGTTGGAATATTGTACTGTAACTGAAAGGTTACAGGTTCAATTCCTGGTCAGGGCACATGCCTAGGTTGCAGGTTCATCCCTGATCCCAGCATGCGGTCCCTGGTCCCAGCATGGATCCCCAGTCTAGGTGTGTACGAAGGCAACCAGTCGATGCTTCTCTCCCATCATGTTTCTCTCTCTCCCTTCCTCCCTCTCTTTTTTTTTTTTTTTTTTAGTGATTTTATTTACTTTTAGAGAGAGGGGAAGGGAGGGAGAAAAAGAAGGAGAGAAACATCAATGTGTGAGAGATACATCGATCGGATGCCTCTTCCATGCCACCAGCTGGGGACCTGGCCCACAACCCAGGCATGTGCCCTGACTGGGAATCGAACCAGCTACCTTTTGGTTCACAGGCTGGTGCTCAATCCACTGAGCCACACCAGCCAGAGCTAAATAAAAAATCATTTAAAAAAATAATAAAAATAGTATAACAAAATGCTCATTGTAGGTTGTACATATATGAGTGCTGTACAGTTATTTCAGTTTTTATGTTTGGAATTTTTCATAATAAAATAGGTAAAGGATGCAGTCACACTGTTCTGAATTCAAATCCAACCTTTGGCACATACCAGCTGTGTGTTTTAAGGCATATTGGATAGTCCTCTCATCTAAATGGGTATAATGCTTAGATATTATACCCATTTATGTATATCATATATACCCATATGTGTTTAGAATATAATATTATACCCATTTATACCCATAATCCAACAGTTATGTGAGGATCAGACAAGATGGTACATGTGAAGTGGCTGACACAAGGCCCGGCGCATAGTGGGTGCGCTTACAGGTGGTGATCTTTATGTCTGTGAGCCTTAAGGCTCCAGCACACACAAGACAGATTTGGCCCACCATTTTTCTTAACATCAGCAAACATTAATGGAGCTCATAGACTCTGCTCTGTGATCCTTGGGCTCAGTTCCTGCTCTTGCCCATACCCTCTTGGTTTTGTGTCTATCAGGTTATCTGAACTGAAGATCTAAAGTAGTATATCCAGAAAAGTTTGGATTCTTTCACTAGTAATAGCTTTAAGGTTGATGTTAAGGAAGTTAACAGTTTTTAGTATCTCATAGTAGGAAGAGATGTCAGAGAATATAGCGACATCCTCCTCCTTATGTCTCTCAATGACTGCTATCAAAATTAGAACACCAGAAATCTCACAGATATCCCCCAGTAGGTAAGGTCCATGGGTTTACTTTCTCTGTCTAACTAGATGATAAGTTTCTTGAGGGTAGAAACCATGTTCTCCAACTCTATATCAGCCTGGCCTGTGGAGGTGATTAAAAAAAAAGTTTAAATATGAACATTTTAAAACAGAACTACAAAGAATAGTACAATAAACAATCATACAGCTACCACCTAATTTCAACAGTTGTTAACATGTTGCCATATTTTCCCTATTTACCTAAGTCTATCTTTAGAAAGATAGATATAGGTAGATAGGTGATTTATTTTTGCTGAACCATACGAGAGGCAATTGCAGGCATGTGACACTTAACTTTTAAATATTTATTCATACATTGCCAAAAACTAGACATTCTCTTAACCACAATGCTCATATCACAGTAACAAAATTAACAATGATATACCATATAATGGCCAGTCTACATTTAAATTTTTATAATTGTCCCCAGACTATCTATTTTAGCGTTTTTGTTTTTAAAATTTTTAAATTTATTGATTTTTATTTATTTAATTTTTTTTAGAGAGGAAGGCAGGGGAGAGAGAGAAAGAGAGACAGGGAAAAATGTTGATTTGTTGTTCCACTTATTTATGCGTTTATTGGTTCATTCTTGTATGTGCTTTGACCGGGGATTGAACCTGCAGCCTTGGTGCAACTGAGCTACTTGGCCAGAGCTGGTTTATTTTTTAATGAATTGGGATCCAATCAGATCCTGCATTGCATTTAGTTCCTTGGTCTGTTGTCTCCTTTTAGTGTAAAAAGCCTACCTCTTTCTTTTCTCATAAACATTGACTTTTTGAAGAGGTGAAACTAATTGTCTTACCTAAGGTCCTATATTCTGGACTCTGGTCCTATATTCTGGATTTGTTTGTTTCTCCTTGTGGTTGTGTTTTACTTGTTCTATCCCTCATATTTCCTGTAAACTCTTGAAGGCAAAAGTACTTCACAGGTAAAACAGTACATAAATGTTTATTAAATCTGAGGCTGGCCCAGATTAACAGTCTTATATTTGTAAGTTAATTCTGAACTGGAATTAGTCAAGGAACAAAAACAGTATGAGGTCTGATTAGAAAAAGATTTTTCCCTCCCTTCAGGCCAAGACTCAGTCTCACATGTGGGAACTACATCTTAAACCATTCTCTTTCTCTGTCTTCTCTCTTTCCAGGATCCCAGCTGGCTACTGTTTTGTAGAATTTGCAGATTTGGCCACAGCTGAGAAGTGTTTGCATAAAATTAATGGGAAACCCCTTCCAGGAGCCACACCTGTAAGGACACTTAGATAATGATGATGTTGCCATTTTTGTTGTTATCGATAACTAACATTTATTAAATCCCTACTATATATTTATATTATTTTTTTATGGGGACGATGCTCTAACCAACTGAGCTACCCTACAAGGGCTATGTTATTTTATTTAATTCTATAACCCTGAAGAGTAGGCATTGTTATCTTTGGCAGACTGGGAAGCTGAAGCTTAGGGAAGTGGAATAACTTGCCCAAGGCAAAACAGGTAGTAAGTGGCAAAACCAGGATGCAAACTGAAGATTGGTTGACTCTGAAATCCATGCCCTTTCCATTCTGCGCCACTGCCTCCCTTAATGGAAGACTTGAAACTACACCTCTTGCCTGACTGAGAAAGTGGAACAGGCTGGCAGTAGTGAGGACACATTTCAAGAGAGTTACATTCTGCTCTTCCCACAGTTACTTAGCTTACAGCTGCACCAAGCTGGCACACCTGGGCTCATAGAACCATGGAGCTGGCAGTGCCCTTAGCGGTCATCTGTGCAACCCCCTCATTTTATACAGGAGAAAGAGCTGAGGTAGAGAGGGGGAGATGTTTTGGCCAAGGTAATTTATTTCAGTTTTTTTCAAATATTGTTTGACTCTTGAAACACCTTTCTCTGTTTTAGTTTGCTTGTTTTTAAATTTCCAGGCAAAACGTTTTAAACTGAATTATGCCACTTACGGGAAACAACCAGATAACAGGTAAGTACGGAGTAGCGCCAAGGTAGCTTCAAGCCCCAGGACATGTCTAGATAGAAACAAAGTGCATCACTGTGTAGGCCGCCACCAAAGAGGACGATCGGGAGTTGAGTTTGGCTCCACTTGGCCTCCCTCCTGAAGGACAACACTTTCCTGTTCGTTCCCCATTGGTGGGGCTTCCCAGTATGCTTCATGTTGAGGCCTATGACTTCTCTATATTTGGTCTCTTTCTAGCCTTCCACCCCATTACTCCCCACGGCGTTGAGGTTTTATTCCATAACAGTGGGCTTGTATAATATACTGGTAATTTGATTCAGCATTTCAGGTTGCTTTTGAAAACTTTAACAATATATCAAAAGCTTTAGAAAGATTTGTACCCGTTCACCCTATAATTCTCCTCAGAATTTATTCATGATGTGTGCAAGATTTGTCTTGAAGGTGTTAATTGAAATACTATGTATAGTGGACAAAATTGGGGGAAAACCAGTCTAGTAATAGGGAAGTGGTTTAAATTACAATATGTTTATTAGTAAGAGTACGATGTATACACTAATAAGCCACGCTGTAGCAGAGTAGTGACATGTGAAGATTTGGCTCTTACAAGTAAAAAAATGCTAGAAACAAAACAAATAAATCATATCCATCCTCTGTAAATTCGAAATAAGAAGACAAAGGAAAAAGTATATATCAAACTGTTCATTGATTACCTTTGAGTGGTTGAGTTATTGGTAATTTTCCTTTGTCTTTTTGTGTGTTCTGATTTTACACAAGGAATATGTATCATACTTGAAATAAAGAAATAATAATGAGTTTGCTTGTTCTTTTTTTTATGTAAAAAATTTTTTAAAGAATTGCTTCAGAACAAGGGTTGGCAAACTGTGGCCTGCTTTGTATCACCTGTGAACTAAAAATGGTTTTTACATTTTTAGAGGTTTGTGAAAACAGACCAAGAAAAAAATGACAGAGACCATAGGTACCGTGGCCCTTTACAGAAAAAGCTTGGTAACCCCTGTCCCAAAATTTGGCGGATTGCGTTTTAGCTAGGTTGTAGGTCTCTAGTAGAGAACGTCCAGTTCTCATTCCCTCTCTCTCTGTCTTTCACCATTTAAATTAAAAATATTCAATGACTACAGAACAACTAGTTTTGTGTTCTGAGTACCTCTGACCTTGACCCCCCTCTGTATGCATGTAATCTTTGAAGCCAGAAAGGCCTTGTGCAGTGGATGTAGAACAGGGGTGGGTCAGGGGACTACTTCATACCTCTTCTGCCAGGACTGCCAAATGGAACGAATTAGGGCCTGGTTCAGGACCCTTCAGATGTGTCATTCCCTAAAAAGGCCCAGATGAGTTTTACATAGAACAGGCCAAAAGAGCTCGTCAGAACAAAGGTCTTGTCTCTGAATCTTATTCTCTCCTCTCAGCCCTGAGTACTCCCTCTTTGTGGGGGACCTGACCCCAGATGTGGATGATGGCATGCTGTATGAATTCTTCGTCAAAGTCTACCCCTCCTGTCGGGGAGGCAAGGTGGTTTTGGACCAGACGGGCGTGTCTAAGTAAGGCCTTACCTGTTATTGATGCTTACCCTATTAGTTTCAGCATTTTCCTCATAGATTGAGGTGGTACAGACAGGCCATGTAGTATGATAGCTAAGAGCACAGGTTCTGGAGCCAAACTGCCTGGGTTGATCCCTGGCTCCAGTACTGGCCAGGGATAGTGCAGGAGACAGGTTACTGAACCTCTGACCCTATTGCCTCCTCTGTAGTATCTGCCCACAGGGGCAAATTTAAGGTTTAAATGATGTAATATAAAGAAAACAATAGAAATGCTTTATAGATGTTTGCTCTTTTATTTATTATTGTTACTCCAAAAGTGGAGTAACATTCTTTAAAGCTCATTCTTTGGGAGTCTGACAGACCTGGATTTGAATCCTGCTTCTACTATGACTTTGGGCAAATTAGGAAACCTCTCTGAACCTTGGTTCCCTCTTCAGTAAAATGTGGATATTCATCAAATTGTGGACCATTCAATGAGATAACCCTGGAAAAATGCTCAGCACAGTGTCTGGGAAATAAGAAGTGCTCATTAAAAATTAGCTGTCATTCTTTTATTCCCCCGAGTAGAGTATGAGTTCAGGAGATCAAGAACTTGTCTGCTGATCAGTACTGAGTCCCAGTGCCCAGTACAATACCTGGCATACAGGTAGACTCAGTAAATATTTGCTGAAGGAACTTTTTACAATTATTACTACTGCTGTTACTGTAATGATAATAATATTTTCTAGTAGATTTGGGGGGAAGCTACTGTTTGGGCAAAAGCCTTATCCCTGAAGGTGTAGAGAGAGTGGTGAACTGAGAGTGGGGATTCTGACAGATCTCGGGACCCTCCAAGCTTGACTCTCGCGTCGCTCTGCGGCACGCCTGCCCGCATAGTTTGATGAACTCTTTCTATCCCTTTCAGCCCCTTTCCCATTCTTAGACTTTACCTTTATCTCATCTGTGATCTGTATAGCGTGTGTGGTTTTGTTTTGTTTTTTTCCTGCAGGGGCTATGGTTTTGTGAAATTCACAGATGAATTGGAACAGAAGCGAGCCCTGACAGAGTGCCAAGGAGCAGTAGGATTGGGGTCTAAACCAGTGCGGCTGAGCGTGGCAATCCCTAAAGCGTGAGTCCTGTGCTGGCAGGGAAGGTTGAGGGCCTCTGGACTGACCCCCCGCACCTGCGCACTCCTCACCTGTTTGTTGATGATCAGAGCATCCCCATGCTGGGTGGAAGGCTACAGGGAGCTCCGGTTCAGCCCACAACAGAAAGCCTGATATTCGCCAGGCTGTTTGCTGGGTAGTGGAGATGAATGAGCAAAACCCTGCCCCTCCAGAAGCTTACGGTTGGGAGCAGAGCTGTAGCTGGGGGAGACAGATACATTTGGACATAGCTAATAGCAGTGCTAGAAGAGCAGTAAGAATTGAGCAGAAGGAAAAAACACCCAATTTTAGCCTTATTTATATCAGTGAAACCTACAAACCTGTGAATGTTCCATGCTGTGGGAATGCCTAAGAATTAATGATTCGAACACTCCATAGAATAGTATATACATCACTATTATACCTGTCATGCTGGGCAGATAATAACAACTCCAAGCAGGTTTCTCACTCAGATGTGAGACAACTTTTCTCTCCATAGAATCTTCCACCCTTTGGCCAAAGCAGTAGTTCTCAGCTAGGGGCGATTTTTGTCCATCAGAGGCCATTGGCAACATCTGGAGACAATTTTGGTTGCTATAACTTGGGGTGGGGGGAGGTGCTACTGGCATCTAATGAATAGATGCCAGAGATGTTGCTAAACATCCTGTGACACACAGGACAGCCCCCACCGCAGACACCGACCTGTTCTCCTCCCTCCACTGCAAGTCAGCAATGTCAGGACTGAGAAACTGTGTCAAGAGTACAAGATCGTCTGTATTCTTAGGGCAGGACTTCGAGGTGGCCATGTTTTTTAAAGCACCAAAAGATTTGGAGGTTCTTTATGGTATAACTGTTTTTAATACATAGAAGATCAGCCTGAGTGATTGCCCCTCCCCAAAGTTTTATTTGTTCTAACTCTATTATATATATAAATATTAACAATATTAAAGAAACTATTTAAAAGAGATTTCCTCATTACCCTAAAATGACTAATTATAATTTTTTAGTTTGTTTCCAGGCTTCTCCATAGCTATTAATGATATATAGATACACATACACATACTACATATGGGTCAGTTTACATACTGTAAATTTCTTTTTATCTTTTTTTAAGATATTTATTTATTTTTAGAGAGAGGGGCAGGAAGGGAGAAACAGAGGGAGAGAGCCCTGGTTGGTGTGGCTCAGGGGATTGAGAGCTGGCCTAAGGGCCAAAAGGTTGCGAGTCCAATTCCCAGTCAGGGCACAGGCCTGAGTTGTGGGCCAGGTCCCCAGTGGGGGTGCGCAAGAGGCAACCGATCAATGTATCTCTCTCACATCAGTGTTTGTCTCCCTCTTTCTCTCTCCCTTCCCCTCTCTCAAAAAATAAATAAAATCTTTTTTTAAAAAAGTTTTAAAAAATCAATAAATGCATAAATAAGTGGAGCAACAAATCGATGTTTCTCTATCTCCCTTCTCTCTCTAAAATCAATAATTTTTTTCAAAAAGAAAATGAAAGAAACATTGATGCACAAGACATACATCAGTTGGTTGCCTCTCACATGCTCCAACTAGGGACCTGGCCCACAACCCAGGCATGTGCCCAACTGAGAATTGAACCAGTGACCCTTTGGTTCACAGGCCAGCACGCAATCTACTGAGCCACACCAGCCCAGACTGGATTTATTTCTTTATTCATTTTACAATAGCAATGCTCTTTTCCCCCAGTTTATTCAGTATACACACTCACTTTTTCATATCATATTTTTAGCAGCTGCAGGTAATTCTTTTTATTGTATATTCTGACAAAGTCCCTTCTGCACAGAGGTTATATTGTTATATCTATGAGTTCTTCCTTGAATGTTGTCAGTGTTTGGTGCCTGTTTCCAGGGAGGTGCTCTCAAGCTCTAGGAATGGAGGGAGACAAGAGTTCCCTTTGAGAGCTAGGCTGTAAGAGCTGAGTGTGGAGAAACAGATCAGGAATGTACCGACCCTGACTGCATCTTCGATTACCTGAACATGGCAGGAGCAGGGTGGACATCCTTGGAAACATTCATGGGAGGGGAGTCATAGAGGCAACATGTTGTCAGTTTTCAGCCTGGCACTGGGGGAGCCTCTGCTGTTTGACACCATCAAGCCACCCTGTCAGGAGGTGATCAGATGTGGAGCCTGTCTAACTGCTCTTGCTGAGTCCTGCTCACCAAGCAGACACTGAACTTGCAAGGAACTTGAGAGAACTCATTCAGACTTTGAGCATTCTGTGGTGCCTATGATGGGGATTTCTGTGGAAGTTCACCTCCTCCTTATGGCGTGGTTTCCTCTTTGGTTTCACTGGGAGATAGAATGCACCACCAATCATGAGGACGTAGTGCATCCTACACTGTGTGACTTATAATTCTCCTTATAAATCAGCTACGCATGTTTGGTGTGCCCTTACACTAGACTCTGGCCCTTTGGAGTATAGTGACTCTGGAAGAGCATTGTCATGTCTTGAGTTATGTTCTTCGATTCCTGTCAGCTGGGACTCCTGGCCATACCCCAGGCCTGTTTCCAAAGCCTACTCACATGGGCTTTTTTCACATTTTTTGAGAGCAGTGGATCCTTTGCAGACTTGACATTGTCTTTGGTTAGCAGCTGGGACAGATGTGCAGTCAGGATAAGCAAGCTCTCAACTGACCCTGGGCCTCAGCCCTGATTGGCAAATGCAGGACATAGGAGACACGTCTTGAGTCTGTCAGGCCAGGTGCTGTATATGATGGTGTGGTGGTAGGAGCGTGAGCATTGGAGTTACATTTGGCTCCAGTCGTGGTGTGGTCTTGGGTAAATCACCTTTTAGGGACTACATATTCTCATTTGTATATGGGAATAATGCATAATCGCTCTGTCACAGTGCTGTGCAGGACTTAAAACAGGAGACCGTACGTGGAAAGTAATCGGCGCAGCTCCTGAGTGCTACTCCGTCAGCGGTAGCTGTGACTACAGCGATGGCAATAAGGCAGCTGGAGTGCTTCTCTTAGTTTTTTGTGAGGAAGAGGTAATTAGATATTTTATAGTTTGAAATGCTTCTTAGGTCATCCTAAATCCAGATTCTTCAGGCCATGTTTACCTGAGCCTTTGTGGCTGGTGAAAAAGCAGGCCCCCCAGATCTTGAGAAGAGAAGTCAGCACTAACAAGGGTTGGCGAGAGGGACAAGCCCAGCCATTGAAAGCTCCTACTTCTCACGCAGGGGCTCTGGAGCCTGGCTGCCTTGATTGAACCGCTTAGTAGCTATGTCACCTTGGACAAATTATGTAACCTCTCTGTTCCTCAGTTTTCTCATCTGTACAATAGAATTAATTTGTAATTACTACGCAGGATTGTTGTGGGGATTAAATGCAGTTAATCTGCGTAAAGCACTTAGAACAGTCCCTGTTCAGTTAATAAGTGTTATGGACATGTTCGTTCACATTTGTTTATCTTTGGTTCTTTCTTCATTTAAGGAGTCGTGTGAAGCCAGTGGAATATAGTCAGATGTACAGTTACAGCTACAACCAGTATTATCAGCAGTACCAGAACTACTATGCCCAGTGGGGCTATGACCAGAACACAGGCAGCTATAGCTACAGCTATCCCCAGTATGGCTACACACAGAGCACCATGCAGGTAAGCGTGATTTGGCAAGTCAACTGTCTTGGATAATGTCGTCCTTTGGAGACATGGCTCATTCTCCAGGATGGGATTGATAAGGACAGGATGTTGGGCTGCAGGGGAAAAAATGGGGAAAGATGGAGCAACCTAGTTCCTCTTATTAAAAATAAGCCATCCTGGTCATGAGACAGGATTTCACCATCCTTCTCACCCACCTCTCTGGTCTCTTGACAGACATATGAAGAAGTCGGAGATGATGCATTAGAAGGTAAGAAAGGAGTCCGTCACTCATTCCCTCTGTCAGCCATTATGCAGTGATACTTTATAATGTATCCGGCACCGTGCCTTCAGCTAGATGCTGAAGGAATGCATGGTGAATTCTGCCTGGAGAAACTTACTTTTTTTTTTCAACTGATTTTTGGAGAGAGAAACATCGATTTGTTGTTCCATATTATTTATGCATTCATGTGGTTGATTCTTTTGTGTACCCTGACCGGGGACCGAGTCCACAACCTTGGTGTATTGGGATGATACTCAAACCAACTAAGCCACCAGGCCAGGGGTGGAGGAACTTACATTCTAATGAGAGAGTCAGTGCACACGTAATTACAGTAAGAAGTGTGTGTGTCACCCAGAGGTATGAGGGCAGACCGCAGAGAGCCCCGGGGGAGGCAGCTCTGTAGGCAAGGAAGGTAGCCAGTCACTCCCCGGATGAGTGGCATTTTACCCTGGGATGTAGGTCTTCAGCAAAAAATACTGTTGCCTTGAATTTCGCAGTTTGTAAAAATCATTTTTTATTTCATGTTTTAATATTTTGTATATAAAATTGCATGTTTTTCCCATTTTCAAGTAATAGTTACAACTGAAATTTTGGAAAATTAGTAAAGTATTATGAAATAAACTGAAAACCACTGCTGATCCTGCTGCCTAGTAATAGCTATTAATTTTTTTATTAAAGTATTTATAATTTTATTGAATCTAACAAAAGAAAAAGTAAAAATGAAGAAATTGCTAACATTCAAATGAATAATTTTTTAAATGTGATATTAATACTTAAGGGATTCTCTAAAGTTTGAAAAATTATGAAAATTTTTTTCAACACATTTTTGAACAGATATTAAGTTCTAAATAAATATAGTTGTAAAATCAGAACTGATTTCTAAATAAATAAAAAATTTTAGTGTACAAAAAGACTCAGATTAAAAACGTAAGTCTATTTTAAGGACTATCTTTAAAGAGACAGAGGGAAAAGGTGGTCTCAAAGCAAAATGGAACTATCACCTTCAGGCAAACAACAAACTTGTTTACTTTGTAGCATTTTAAAGCGCTTTCCTTATGTGCTCTCATCTGAATTTAATAGTAGTGACCTTGGAGAGCAGGCTGGACAGAACACAGGAGCTCCAGTTGACAGATGGGGAGCTGGTGGCCCAAATGGTCTGCTCAGGGTCACAGAGTGAATTAGGCAAAGTCAGGCCTGGAGTCCCTGTCTTTCTATACTTATCTCTTGTTCTTCCCTGCAGGAAATGCCTTCCTTTTAGAGAGATAATAAACCTGATTATAGTATTATTTGTGTGTCACTGGAGATTTTCCAGTTTTTCTCATCCATTAGTAGTGTAACAACAGCCAACATATTTTGAGCTACGCACTGCTCCCTGTCAACCCTTTAATGGGCAGGTACCCTTATAATCCCCATTCTTCTACAGAAAAGAAAACTGAGGCTTAATAATAGCTAACTGTTAGTGAGATTTTTACTGCGTTCAGGGCGCTGTCCTAAGCACTTTGCGTGTATTAACTAATTTATCCTTCACAACAGTTTTGAGGTAAGTACTACAATTATCTTGGTTTTTATAGAATAGAAAACTGAGGTAGAGAAGTTAAATTACTTGTTCAAGGTCAACATAGTTGCAAGTTGCAACTTAGTACAAGAGGCAGAGTCAGTCTTGGAACCTCTGCAGTCTTGCCCTAGACTTCACTCGCAGTCTTTACCACTGAGTTATAATGCCTCCCACTTTAACCTAAGAGAACCACACAATGCACGACAGGAACTGTAACCCTTCTCTATGTAGTTTTGGCTTCCATAGGCCATCTTCCGGACTGTCTTTAGAATGAGGAAGGGTGCTTTTATGTGTCCTTAGAAGTCAGCACATGCAAAGGCCTGCTCTTGCTCGAACCCTTTACTCTGTTCCTGTAACTGTTACCTACACAGAGTGGAGGAATCAGGCTGGTCCTGCTTTCTGTTAACATTTTCCACATGGAGCCTCTGTAAATGCTCAAATCTCCAACTCATAATTTAGATTAAAATTACAAGAGAAAGAAAGATCCCTCTGTTTGCAGAAGTGGGCATAGTACTTATGTGAAAAGATTCATCACTGACTGATTTGAGAGTAGAGATGGAGTCTTAAGAGTAGGTGAGAAAGCTGGGAGTAACTTACAGAAGAAACACAAATGGCTGATAAAGCACGAGAAAAATGTAAACATACTTTTATGTCAGTCAAGATTCTCCAAAGAAACAGAACCAGTAGGCTATACGTATCCATGTACAAGGCCGGACAGCAAACTGGAAATTCCGGCAGGGCTTCTATGTCAGCGGTATTGTAGCAGAGTGTCTTTGGGAAACCAGTTTAAGGCCTTAAGGCCTTCAATTGGTTGAATAAAGCCCACCCTCATTATTGAGGATAATAATCCCCTTTATGTAAAGTCACTGTAACAGGTGTTAATCACATCTACAAAATACCTTTACAGCAACATCTAGACTGGTGGTTGACCAAACAACTGGGCACCATGGCCTAGCCAAGTTCACACAGAATTCAACCATAACACAATTAATAACCAAATACAAATTAGAATACACTGTTAAAAGTTCTATGTTTATATAGTTTGAATCAGTAATTTTACTTGATTTTATTCCCAATGATAATCATCAGTACAGATAAATATCCAATAGATGACTTGTTAAATAAAGGTAGCTTTTAAAAATTGAGGCATAACTGACATACATATTTGTATTAGTTGTGTTTGTATAAGGTATTAGTTTCAGATGTACATGATTGAATGTATATACTGCAAAGTTATCACCACAATAAATCTAGTTAACATAGTCACCATATATCATACAGGCTGGGGCAAAAGTAGGTTATAATTGTTCATATGGAAAACAGTACAACAATTAATAAATAATACAAGAATAAACTTTTGTGTTCTCAGAACTGTAAACCTAATTTTGTCCCTACGCTGTATAATTACAGTTAACCCAGCACCATTTTTGAAAAAACTGTTATTTACTCATTGAATTGTTTGGTACCTTTCTGAAAGAGCAGTTTACTATAAATGTATAGGTTTGATTCCTAGACATTGATCTATGTCTATCCTCAGACCACTGACAATCTTTCTTACTGTAGCTTTACAGTAAGTTTTGAAATGGAGATGTGTAAATCCTTAGATTTTGTTCTTTTTAAAGATTGTTTCACCTATTCTGGATTCCTTGCATTTCCATATAAATTTTATAATCAGCTAGTCATTTTCTGTTAAAAAAAAAAAAGGTAGGTGCAGTTTTTATAGGAATTGCACTGAATCTGTAGATTAATTTAGGGAATTTTGCCATCTTAACAAAACTGCCTTCCAACCCAAGTACATGGGATGTTTATTTAGGTCTTTAATTTTCCCGTTAGTTTTAAACTGTTTTAATGAATGGGTGTGTGTGCGCGCATTTTAAACCAATACAAGACTAAAACTATAAAATATTACGTCACGAATTTTTTTGAACTTTGGTCAAAGATAACACATGCATGGAAAAGTACATAAAATAAATGCATAGTTTAACATGTAATTATAAAGTAATCGCCTGTGAAACCTGCATTTAGGTCAAGCAGAGTATTGCCAGCCTCCAGAAGCTATCCTTCCCCCAATCAAAACTTCTTGTGGTAACCATTTTCTTCCTTCTCTTTATAGCTTTTCATCACTTAGATATGTATGCCTGAACAGTATGGTTTAGTTTTACCTGTTTTGGGCCTTTATATAATGCAGTCATACTGACTGTACTTCATTCATGTACAACATTCATGCAATTTGAAATTCAAGTTGTGTGCACCAGGATTCATTTTCAGTGCTATGTATCACTCTCTTTTTAAAAAAGATTTTTAGGGAGAAGGGAGAGAAACATAGACTGGTTGCCTCTCCCATGCCCCCAACTGGGGGAACTGGCCCACAACCCAGGCAACGTGCCCTGACCGGGTTGAGACTCAACCTGTGACCTTTTGGTTTGTGGGACGCTACCCAAACCACTGAGCTACGCCAGGCAGGGCAGTGCTATGTAATATTCCTTCAAGAATAGTGCTTTGGGCTTAGTAATTTGGATCAGATTTTCCAAGCCCAAAATTGGTATAACCACACTAGAAAATCCAGGGCATGTGACTAGGTATAGGTGTAGCTTTCAAGAAGTGTGGAATAGCAGTCACCAATGTTTTGAGTACTAACTACACATCTTATTATCCTATTTCCATCCTCACAGGAACCCTGCAAGACAGTTCTATCAGCTGCTTAGTTAGGAGGGAACTCAGACACAAGTAGGGAAATTGCCCTAGAAAACAGGAGGCCCTGGATAAGGAACTGAACCTAAGTCTCTTGAGGTCTGTGGCTGCTGAGTGCTTTTCCCCTTGGTGCTCCCTAAATGTAGCCTTGTTTCTGTTCCAGACCCCATGCCACAGTTGGATGTGACTGAGGCCAACAAGGAGTTTATGGAGCAGAGTGAGGAGCTGTATGATGCACTGATGGATTGTCACTGGCAGCCCCTGGACACAGTGTCATCAGAGATCCCTGCCATGATGTAGCCAGGACAAAGGACAGCCAGAATGGACTGTGGAAGGGAGAAAAGACTCCTTTAAAAAAAAATTCAAGTACTTTTACCTTTTTGGAAATGTTTTATAAGATTTTAATAATCAAGCCCTGGCAGGTGTGACTCAGTGGATTGAGCACTAGCCTGCAAACCAAAAGGTTGCAGGTGATTTCCAGTCAGGGCACATGCCTTGGTCATGGGTAGGATCCCCAGGTGGGGGCGAACAAGAGGCCACCAATCACACATAAATGTTCCCTTCTCTCCCTCCCTTGCCCTCTATAAATAAAACCTTTTTTTAAAATTTTTAAATCAAGTTTCCTGAGATTATGACTTTTTACTCCAACACTGCTACTTTCACTTGATGTAGTGACCTTTTCAGTCTGAAAACCAAGGATCCACTGTTGAAGAGGGTTGAACAAGTTTCCAATTTGTTTCTGAATAATCATTTACCTACTAGTTATTGATACTCCTGAAGATTAGGACAGTTTGGAACTATTAATCAGAATATAATTACTAACCATATGACTCAGTACAGCCAGGGATAATTCTCAGGTGACAGGCCATCTAAGTCCTTATGGTTCTCTGGGATCAGAATGTATGTATCATCTGCTGTATGTCAAATAGGGGCAGTTTCCACCTGCCATTCAAGCACTCCCCTCCAACATTCGCTTCAAGTCTGGCCTCTAGTAAAGACTATTCCAGCTGGAGGACAAAAGCTGCATAGCCCAGTTGGAACAGGACACGACGGGAGTCACTGGATGCACTGCAGACCCACACATTATGTTGCAATCTCCAGGACCCAGGACCCTCCTCCTGGAGAATCTGGATCTATGCTAGAAATCTGCATCGCATTTTAGTTTTGTGCCAGAGCTGTTTAGGGGGTAAGGGGTCGCAGGGGAGACATGACTCGAGTTAAAGTGTCCATACCACAAAAGCCTTCAAAGATTTAATCTTCGGCTCAGGAAAAAACACATCTAATTGCAATTATGGAACTGATCATACTGTCCTTTCTGAGGTCAGACTTTTTTTAATCAAGAGATTGAGACTATGCTTTAGTTTGGGTCTACAAAGTATTTAGCCACGGTACCAGCACTCACAAAACAACCAAGGTCACTGTTTTCACCTAAAATTAACTTGGTGGGAAAATTTCTTGGGACTAAGTCCAAAGAAAGAGGCTGACAATTTCATTACATTAAGAGTTTATTAAGACAATCCTCCACCCTGCAGGGCAAGGCAGGTAGGGACCAGCCCCAGATAAGGGGTGGGCAAAGGTGGTTTCAAGAACCAGCCGCGGGCGATGGGGCATGGGAGGTGGTCTGAGGGGATTTACTGTTACTTATTCTCTCTTCTGGCCTGGATCTAGTTCAAGGAAGCCAGTCTCTCCCTCACACACCTGTCTCTTAGCTTCTTCTCATACAGCTTCTCTCCTGAAAAGGAAGTATAAGCCAGTGTGTTAATACTGCCCCAGTCAATCACCGCCACCCAGGCACCTTCCTAAGAGCTGGTCTCAGTCCCATATCCGCATTTATCATCCACAGATGTCCACTTAGATTAGGTTTCATCCCAGACCAGTCACCCTAAAGTAAAACAAACACCCCAAACTAGACGGTATTACTTGTTTCTACCGAATCCATCTCCTGTGGTTTGAGGTTTCCCCAAAGAAGCATGAGCTCAAGTTACTATACAGCATCTGAACACCGGTCTGTGCTGCCCCAAATGCAGGGCTGTCCCCTGTGCTACATTCTACTCATAGCAGAATGTGCTCGTGGACTTAGGATGGGCAAACCTAACAGACCAAGTCGTTCTGTAAACATTAATTTTTGTTCTCTGGCAGCTAATAAATATAGCACACAAGGCAGGCAGTCATTCAACTTACCCAACTCTGTAGATCATTAATCATAGATGAAGACAGCTTATTGATGACAGATCTAAAAAAAGGAGGACACTGGTAAGTCCCTTCCTTCCAAATACAGAAATATTAATCAGCAATCACTATACCAACTGCCCAGAGAGTCACACACATCATTCTTCCCTTTATCTCATTTTACAGGGGAGGAAGAAACAAGTTCAAAGAGAATTTAAGTTTGTTTGAAACTAGCCCACATGCTACAGAGCTGTGAGGCCAGCTTCAGTTTTACTTTTCCTCCTTTTACGACCACCAAGACCGGTGTTCAGATCCGATGGGAAAGGGAACCGGAGGGTCAGATTATCTTCAAGATCTAACTTTACCTTATTCTAAAGCACAGGGGCAGCAACAAGCTGATGTCTTGAGCTTTTTCAGTGCCAGACCCTGCCAGGAAATGTGGTGGCAACCTGCAGGAAAAAAAGTGAAAGCTCTAAACCACAGTTGATGCACTATATCCATCTGTATGGAAATTGATGGAAACATCCAGACTCAGACAGAAGGAAGTCCAGGTCCTGAGAAACTATAGGAAAGGCGAGTGGCAGCTGCAGGTATTACGCTGACCTGAGCTGTCAAAGTCTCTCCAGGTTGCTCTCGCATGCAGTTGGAGATCCTGTGGCTACAACCAGCCACAGCCCTTGGAAACATGCTGTACTGAATCACCAGGTAGTTGCCAAATTGTCTCCACAAGAAACTTACCACGTCCTGAGGTGGTTGTGTTCCATCACTGCCATGGCTTGAGTCCTCGCTCACCAGAAAGCAATTTAAACCATCTGGCTGTCTTCACCTGGAACAGCTAAGATGAGAACACAATTGTCCTGAATGATCTTATTTGGTCTTCAGAATCAAAGGTTTACCTGGCCTTTGATCCTGGTACTGATGCCTTAAGCCTTTGAGGGCAATGATGCAAAGCATCACCAAGATCTGCACCACTTCCCACTGGATTTCCCCATTAAGATGTCTAACCCACTCCCATCTGCCCCTCCATACTATCTTCCCCTCAATAAGCTACTTTGCGAAAGCTGTATGCAAGACCCATCACAGTGATTTTCAACCCTTTTCATCTCATGGTACACATGGATTACTAAAATGCTACAGCACACTGAAAAAAAATGTTTTGCCAATGTGACCAAAAAAATTGATTTTGATTCATTCACACTTGATGACTTTTGTTGCTGACTGTTGCCACTGTATTTACAATCTAAAGGAAAAGAGGTCAGTGCCCCTGACTAAAGAGTCAGATACTGCAAGATTTTTTTTAAACGTAAAAAAAATTTCATTTTCTTTTAGAGGGAGGGTAAGGGAGGGAAGAAGAGGGAGAAACGTTAGTGTGCAAGAGATACATCCATAGGTTGCCTCTCACATATCCCTAACTGGGAACCCGGGCCACAACCCAGGCCTGTGCCCTGAGTGAATCAAGTCAGAGTTCAAAGGCTGGCACTCAATCCACTGAGCCACACCGGCCATGGCAGGTATCGCATGTTTTAAAAATTCTTGTGGCACACTGGTTGAAAATCGCCACCCTATCGACATTTCTGCTGGTCTGCGGAAACATGGACATTTTAATAAAGGTCTGTTTATACCTGAGAAACTGCAGGTACAATAGAAACTGTCTTTTCCCAAAATGTTGCAGATCAGTTACAGCAAACAGAACGGCGACCGTCAAGGAAAACTGTCACTCTGGGCTCCTTTTTGACTGCAGCAGCTATGTGGAAGCAGCGGCAGCTTCGATAAGGGCCTCAGGGCGCTGGTCACAGGACAGCCCAAGCTGTGCAAAGCCCTAAAACTCACCTAAATCCTGCGATTATTGCCGACTGAAACTCGTCATTCTGGAGACCAAAGGAAAACAGATCCTGTAGACCCCAATTACCACTTACACCTGAATGACCCTAAAACCCATCCTCCAGAAAACCCTGTCCTCAATAGTCACCAGGGCGCCCTGCGTAACATGTGTTGTGCAGCCAGATAATTCAAGAGGTCACTTGCCAAGGTAACCCAGCAAGTAGCTGTGGGCGTTGAAGGCAGTTTGAAATTCAGGGTCTGGCTGACACCAACACGTGCCCTACTCCAAATTAAGCCACTTCAGGCAGAGTGGCCGTGCACCCAGCCGCTAGCCCACGCTACTTACCCATCATACCCCAGCTCCCCGCTGCGCAAGCCGAGGGCCGGGGGGAAAGGGCGCGGCCCTCGAGGTCTCCGGCCCCTCTTCCTGCGCAAGCGGCCCACGTGCCCCTCGGGACATTGGCCTCAGCCGGCTTGGAGGCCGGGCTCCTCCACGCCACACTCATCCTACAGCCTCGGGAGGCAGTCCAGGCGGGAAGGCTAAGGGCGTCTAAGTACAGGAGGCAGCGCTGGTAGAGGATGGGCTTGAGGAGCAGCAGCAGGCCTACTTCACCGCCAGTACCCAGGAACTCGGCGGTCTGAAGAAAGGACAGCCTGCCCCCGAGCAGGAGTATATATAGGCTCCGCCTCTCGCGGCCGCGCCCGAGGATTGCGGCTGCGCACCGCACGGACCGCTGGGAGTTATAGTCGCTTCGGTTCCTTAGTTTCCGGTTCGGAGCGGTACGACAGGCTCCCAGCCCGACGTGCCTGAGGGGCGCGGACCTTTTCACAGTGGGTGGAGGAACCGAGCGGAGGATGTAATCAGTGGATAAAGAACTTCATTCCCCTTAGTCCAACACCACCTAAACGTCCTGCGCAGAACCCTGGGCCTACAAAGGAATCAAGCTCTCCGTGCTCTCGAGTTTAGTCTGGGAAGATTGGCAAAGCTGGGGAAAGAAAGGGCTACGGTCAAACCGCCGTGAGCCTCATGGGGTCAGCGACTGAGTGCGTTTCGGGGAGGGCTCTGTAAGGTCTTGTAAGAGGAGTCTTGGGAAGTTGTCTCAGGAGGAGACGACTGATTGCACATAGGATGAATGTATTATTTGTTCAAGGCATGCTCTTCCGCTAATAGGCAAGTACTTTTTCTGAGTAGTAAGTACTGGAAAACTATGCTCGATTACCTCAGCAACTTTTCATAATAACCCTATGTATAAGCATTATAATTATGCCCTTTTTTACAGATGAGGAAACTGAGGAAATGTATCACACAGCTAGCAAGTGAAGGACTGATACCCGAATCGGGGAGTCCACCCCAGAGACCACGCTCATAATCATTGTGCCTTTTGCATATTTTGTCCATCGAATAATAAGGGTCAATATACAAATAGTAGCTGTCGAGAATTAAGTGCCTAGCCCTGGCCAGGTTGCTCAGTTGGTTAGAGCATCCTCCAGATATACGAAGGTCGCTGGTAGACCTTGGGTCAGGGCACGTACAAGAAGCAACTGATGAATTCATAAATAAGAGGAACAACAAATTGATGTTTCCCTAAGTAAATATTAAAAAAAAAAAAAAAAGAATTAAGCACCTCTTCTGTGCTTAATCTATTAATTTTTATGCATACAGGCACTTTTCTTTTCCGATCCCGTACATGCACTTTAAAAGGTAGGTACTACTATTTTTACCATTTTATGAGGAAGGCAACAGACTAATAGGGTAAGAAACTTTCTGATGACTTCCAAATGTGTGTCTTCATCCCCACTTTTCTCCTGAGCTCCAGACGTTAAATCCCGCTGCTTCCTTGACATCTCACTGGGATGTTTAATAAATAGGCTTTTCAGAACACAGCCTTACCTCCTCCAGACCTCCTCTTCTCTTTCTCAGTAAATTCGCGGAATGACCCTGGACTCCTCCTTCTCTAACATCTCATGTGCAATACATCAGCAAATCCTGCATTCTCCATCTTTTTCTTTTTAGTTAAATTTATTGGGTTGATATTGGTTAATAAAAATACATAGGTTTCAGGGGTACAATTCTATAATACATCATCTGTATATTGTATTGAGTGTTCACCACCCTAAGCCAAGACATCACCGTTTCCCGCCGGCGCCTCACCCCCCCTGCCCCGCAAGCGTTTACTATTTTCTACCTCCCGCCCCCACCCCTTTCCCTCTGGTAATCACCATACTGTTATATATGACGGTTTTTTGTTTGTTTGTTTTACTTAGTCACCTCACCTTTTTCACCCTTGTATTCTCCATCTTTAAGATGCTTCAAGAATCACTGTTTTAACCACCCCTACTGATGTCATTACCGCTGACCCACAAGGTAGCAGTAGTTTCCTAACTAGTCTCGCTGATTCTGTCCTTGATCCCTGCACTACGTTCTCAGCACACCAGAGTGTTGAAAGAGCAAAAGTTTTTTGTTTTGATAAAGTCCAATATGTTGATTTTTGTCGTTTGTGCTTTGTGTCCTTTAAAAAATCTTTTAATAAATAATATAAAATCTTTGCCTAACTCAAAGACATTAAAATTGTTTTATGTTTTCTCTAGAAGTTTAATAGTTTAGCCCTTACATTTAGATCTGTGATTCATTTTTAGTTAATATTTGTGCATGGTGTGAGGTAAGAGTCAAGGTATGTTATTGCATTTGGCATCCAGTTGTTCCATCTTCATTTGTTGAAAGGATTCTTTTTTCCATGTAATTGCTTTGGCCCCTTTGTTAAAAATCCGTTGACCATATATATAGGTCTGTTTTTGTACTCAATACTGCACTCTCTTGATTATTGTAGCTCTTTAATAAGTCTTGAAATCAGGTAGGAAAATTCATCCAACTTTGTTCTATTTTTTCAGAATTATTTTAGAATTATTAGCTATTCAGAGCCATATATATATTTAGTATCAGCTAACTTGTATTTTTTTTAAAAAGCCTAGTTGTATGTGGTTGGCATTGCATTGAATCTATGGATTAATTTGAGGAGAATTGACATCTTAGTGATGTTGAGTCTTCTAATCCATGAGAATGGTGAATGTCTTTCCATTTATTTACTTAAAGATTTGCAATCTTTTTTTAAAGATTTGTTTTAAACATATTTTTAAAGATTTTATTTATTTATTTTTAGAGAGGGTAAGGGAGGGAGGAAGAGAGGGAAATATCAATGTGTGGTTGCCTCTCGAGCGCCCCCTTCTGGAGGCCGTGCCTGCAACCCAGGCATCTGCCCTGACTGGGAATCTGACCGGCGACCCTTTGATTCACAGGGTACCGCTCAATCCACTGAGCCACACCAGCCAGGGCTCCATTTTTTTAGATCATCTTTCTCTCGGTGGTGTTTTCTAAGTTTCAGTGTATAGGTGTTGCATCCTGTATACCTTTTGTCAAATTTATCCGTAAGTTTTGCATATTTTGATGCTACTGTAAATGGTACTAGTCTTGTCAATTTCAAATTCCAAATAGTCATTGCTAGTATACAGATATAGAATTAATTTTTGCATATTGACTGGTGTCCTGTAACCTTGTTAAATTTACTTCTTAATTCTAGCAATTTTTTTGGTAAGTTTCTTAGGACTTTTTACATGTCTGTGCATAAGGGTAGGTTTACTTCTTCCTTCTCAGTCTAGATGCCTTTTATTTCCTTTTCTAGTTTTATAGTACTGGCTGAGAACTCCAGTATAATAGTGAACTCTTAAGTTACATTTCATCAAAATTTAAAACTCTTGATCTTCAAATGACACCATTAATTAAATAAAAAGAAAGAGACACACTGGGAGAAAATATTTGTAAAACATATAACCCAACAAGAGACTTCTACCTAGAAAATAAAGAACGCTTAATATGTAACACTAAAAAGTCAAACTACTCAATTTTTTAAAATAGCCCAAAAATTGAAAGACATCTCACCAAAGAAGATAAACAGGTGGCAAATAAACACATGAATGATGCTCAACATCATTGGTCATTAGTGAAATGCAAATTAAAACTATAATAAGATAACACCACAAACCTGCCGGAATGGCTAAAAATTATATGACAGTATTAGGTGATATCAAGAAGGTAGAGCAACTGCCACTCATACAGTGTTTGGGATTGTAAAATAGTACAACTACATTGGAAAACAGTTTATCAGTTTCTAAAAAAGTAAAACACCTAGCATAATATGCAATCATTGCGCTACAAGGTACTCCCCGAAGAGAAATGAAAGCACACATCTACACAAAGACTTGAATATAAATGTTCACAGCAGTTTTATTTGTAATACTCAAAGGCTGGAAATAACCCAAATGTCCTTCAACAAAGGATTGGATAAATTCTGGTATATTCATGCATTGGAATACTACTCAGTTATTAAAAGGAACAAACTTTATATGTGCATCGAAATGGATGAATCTTCATGTTGTTGAGTGAAAGAAGCCTGGCAAAGACTACATACTGTATGATTTCACTTACATAAACTTCAAGAAAATGTAAAGTATTCCCTAGTGACAGAAAGCAAATGAGTGGTTGTCTGGGGGTGGAGGTCAGGAGACAAGAATGTAAAAAGCACATGAGGAAACTTGTGGGGGTGATTAATGTTCATTATCTTGATTGTGGTGGTGATGGTTTCATGGGTGTACACTTATGTCACAACTCCTTATGTTGTACATTTATCATGTGCAGTTTATTGTGTCAGTTATATCCCAATAAAGATATTTTTTAAGTAAGCAAGAAAACATGTACATGGTTCAATTCACCTGCCCTCAAATCACTGACTTCTCAACATATTTGAAATAAAAGCGCAAGCCCTGGATGGTGTGGCTCAGTGGACTGAGCTCCAGCCTGCAAACCAAAAGGCCGCCAGTTTGATTCCCAGTCAGGGCACAGACCTGGGTTGCAGGCCAGATCCCCAGTAGGGGGCGCGTGAGAGGCAACTACACATTGATGTTTCTCTCCCTCTTTTTAAAAAAAATAAAAAAAAAATAAAAACTGAAGTCCCCAGGCTGGCCTCTGAAGCCACTTATGATTTGCCTCCTTCTCCTCTATGCCATCTTCACCCACCACTTGCTTCCTCCTGCTTTCTGTTCCCTCTTCCCAGCCTCTCTGCTCTTGGACTATTCCTTGCCTGCTCCCACATCAGGGCCTTTGCTCTTTCCAGTCTTCCTTCCAGGAACTATCCTCCCTGGATTTCACAGACAGCCACATTACTCCCTCGCTGTCTCATTTCCCCTGGATTTCTGTTCCAATGTCACCTCAGACCACCCAATTTTGATATAGCACCCTGCCCCCTTCAAGCCATTGCCCTGCTTGTTATTTATTGTACTTATTGCTCTCTATCATCACATTATATATGTATTTATTTTGTCTTCCCCATTACAATGTGAGCTCCCCAAGAACAGAAATGTGTCTCTATTTTCATTGCTGTATAAGTGCCTAGTATGTAAGACACCCAGCACTTAATGAAATAATTACTAAGTGAATTAATTACTGAATGAATAAAACTTGACCAAGGCCTCATCGCTAGTTAAGTGGCAGTTGGAAGTAAAACCCAGATAGTCTAATGTAAATGTATATTACTTTACCTGTTACGTTACAGAGTTCTTTCCAGAACTACCCTGTGAGGTGGGCACCCTGATTTGCCTCATTTAACAGGCGGGGAAGGAGGAATGAGGAGGGGAGATGACTTGCCCCCAGGTCACATAGGTCAGCTGACATCCAGACTCAAGTGCTAGATGCAGTCGGAGGCAGGCACATGACCCCAACCCACAGTGTCTGGGAGAGGAAGTTAAAAGAGGCTGATGCTGACAGTGCACTGCCCTTGTGTGCTGATCATAAAGGTTTCTGGGAAGGCTGGGTTCAAACTGCATTTCAAGCTATTTCATGCCTCTCTGCCTTTGCCCTGCAGCCTTTCCTCCCAGACCTCCCCAGCTCGCATTGTCCTTGGAGACCCATCACTTCCTCTAAGAGGTCTTCTCAGACCTGGACCTCCTTGAGTCTTGCTCTGAATGAATGAATAGCACTTACCCACTTCCATTCATTCACCCATACATATTTACTGAGTTTCTATTTTGTATCAAGCACTGAGGATACAACCATTGGTCCCCCTCAAAGGAGCGCATACCTAAAAGGGAGACAGACTTCACAGTGGATAAAAAGGGCAAGTGACCTCATTGACCAGTCACTGAGGGGCTTCCTGAGGGCAGGGAGCTAACCTCATTAGAACCTTGGGGAATCTAATCCCTAAGGTTAGGGATCTAACCTTCAGAGGGCATCAGCCCTCGGAAGAGCAGAAGAGGAGTGTCCTGGCTGAGGGCTGAAAAGAGGAAAGATGCTCAGCATGGCTGGGGCTCAGAGCGCCAGGGGTAGGTAAAGAAGGGACTGGGGGCATCTGCAAGAACCTGACAAGGAAAATATTTTCCAGCCTAATAGAGTGAGGTGCAGAGAACATCCTGATGGAGGAAAAGGTGAGGCAGGAGGGAGAGGGCAGATTCTCTTGATTTGGGCAGAGCCAGTGGAGAGAGTCCCTCCAACATACACACCCTACCTCGTGGTGCCTCAGTGGCTCCTAGATTATCGGGCTTCTCTCCCACCCCTGGAAGAAGGGGCAGGCAAAGCCAGGTTCCTTCAGCTCTGCCATGCCGGTGGCTTCTCATTGATTTGGTTAGAGTTAGCCAGAAGAAAACCTGGGCCTTTTCAGATCCCCTACCTGTTGAGTCAGAAACAAAAATAGCAAACATGGCCTTGACCTTGGGTAGACTTGGAAAGTAGTCTCAGTCTTCCGTGCTGAGTGACCTTGGGCTGGTTGTTTAACTTCTCTGAGCCTCAGTGTCCTCATTTGTAAAAATGGACAGGATAACAACACCTACTCACAAGGTGGTGTGAGGAGGAAATGTGATGATGTGATGGTTAAAGCAGTGAGGACCGCCCCACCCCGCCCCCACCAATTTGCCAAAACAAATTAAACTGGTAGAAATCTACCTGTTTTGGAATAGCCAGAAGTTCAGCCTTGATGACCTGCATTGCCAGAAGGCCAGACTGGGTGAAGGGTGGAGTGGATCTTGGAAGTAGAAGCGCCTGCCTTACCCTTGCCCCTAACCCAAGTGGGACCTGACCCCTGTGTCCCAGTCCTCTTGAGAATTACTTTGCAGTCCCATTGTGTGGCATATCAAGGGGGTAATAAAGAGTGAGACCGCCCTGGCTGGGTAGCTCAGTTGGTTAGAGTGTCATCCCGATACACCAACGTTGCGGATTCCATCCCTGGTTGGGGTACATACAAGAACCAACCAATGACTGCGTAAATAAGTGGAACAACAAATCAGTGTGTGTGTGTTTCTCTCTCTCTTCCTCTCTAAAATCAATAAATAAATTTTAAAAAGAGGGAGACAAACCCAGATGTGAGTCCGAGCTCTGCTGTGTGACCTGAGACAAGCCACACATCTGAGCCTCAGTCACCAAAGCTCTAAAGTGGGCACACTGTGACCCTCTCAAAGGGTTGCTGCTCCCAGAGCATAAAGAACTGACCATCAGGCCTCATGAATGTTAGCTGTCCAGTCCAAAGGCTGAGTGCACTCCCTCCGCAATCACAGCTGTCTGTGTCTGTTCTGCCTTGTCTACCAGACTGTGCCCCATCCTCTCCCTGGGCGGGGGGCCAGGCGCAGGCAGGCAGGAGGAAGCCGTCAGGGCTGTCGAACACTGAACCTGAACATTGAGCAGGTGGCCCCAGGCCAGGGTAAGTGGGGCTCCAGAAAAGGGGCACCGATAAACCATCAGCTTTCTAGAGTGGTGTCTCCAGGTCCAGCAGCAGGGGACCCAACCTGAGGAACTAGCAGAGAGTGATGCTGGAAAGAGAAACCATCCCAACAAATGAATGAAGGGCATGGCCGGTCTGGCCCTGTTAGTCTGGGGCCAGTTCCTGTTTGGTTAGCATTCCTCCCCAGTCCTCCTCCTGACTTTTAGTTTAATCTTTTCTTCCCGTGAAGTAGGGGTTACCATTATCCTCATTTTACAGAGGAGAAAACTGAGGCTCAGAGAGTAAGTGACTTAGGGGTTTCCACCAGGCAGCTTCCCCGGGGTCAGGCGCCCTGGGCTGAAAACGAGCCAGGCTCCACAGACGCCCACGTGCCGGTGCCGGTGGCTTAGCGGGCCGTGTTGGGCGGGGGCAGGGCCACTTTAACCGGCCACTTGGGCAGGGCGGGGCCGGACAATGACTGCGAGACCCGGAGGAAGCGAGACTCGGGCCATGGAGGAGGGAGGCTGCCGCTACCAGTTTCGGATCGTGCTGCTGGGGGACGCGGCTGTGGGCAAGACGTCGCTGCTGCGGTGCTACGTGGAGGGCGCGCTCGGGACCCCGGCGCCCGAGGCGGAGCCCCAGTCGGAGCCCACGGTGGGCGTCGAGTTCTACAGCCGCACGCTGCAGCTGCGAGCCGGGCCGTGGGTCAAGCTGCAGCTCTGGGACACCGCGGGCCAGGAGCGTTTCAGGTGCTGGGCGGGGCAGGGTGCTGTGGATGCGACGTAGAAGAAGGAGGGAAGAGAACAGGGAGAAATGAGTAGGTGAGGGACCTCAGCTCGGGATCAATGCCGGTCTACCTGGCCGTGGAGTGGGGAGAGGGGTCAGCCCCAGGGGCCCAAGTAGAGGTCTGGGTGTCCCTGCCCCGGAGTTCGGGTCCTTCACTCTTGAGTCATTCAACTTACAAATACAGCTGGGTGGGCCAAGCCTCTGAGCCAGATGTTGAGACCTGGTCGTCCCTCCCACCACGCCCCCAGAGGAGCATTACAGTTTTGGGGACAAGGAGGAAGGACCTGCCATTTAAACCTGGAGGGATAAATGATGTGGGTGCTGGGGGAACCCACGGGAGCACAGAGGGGGAAGTAAGGAGATGGGAAAGGAGGAGAGATTTGTGTTGGCCTTGAAGGATGCATAGGAATTTGCCAGAGAGAGAATGGGGAAGCAGACCTTCAATCCAGAAAATGCTAGGCCTCCTCCAGGAAGGGAGGAATGGTCAGGAGAGGATGTGAATCAAAGGTCCTCCTCAACTGAGAAGCACACAGTGTCTTGGGAGAGAGACGGGCCTGGGAACAGAAGTGCAAGGGTGTGAAATGAGCTCTAGCAGGAGGTAAGGAAGGAAGGGAGGCTGTCAGGGGATGCAGGGGAGGCTCTGCCTCTGGGGGCTTCTGAACGACATAAGCCTCTTCCAACTTACTCCCCAATCCCATCAGGTGCATCACCAGGTCTTTCTACCGGAATGTGGTGGGTGTCCTGCTGGTTTTTGATATGACAAACAGGAAGTCCTTTGAACACATTCCACATTGGCACGAGGAGGTCATGGCCACTCAGGGCCCCGACAAAGCAATCTTCCTGCTGGTTGGCCACAAGAGTGACCTGCAGAGCACCCACTGTGTCTCGGCTCAGGAGGCAGAAGAGTTGGCTGCCTCCCTGGGCATGGCCTTCGTGGAGACCTCAGCCAAGAATAACTGCAATGTGGACCTGGCCTTCGACACACTCGCCCACGCCATCCAGCAAGCCCTGCAGCAGGGGAACATCAAGTTGGAGGAGGACTGGGGGGGCATTCGGCTCATCAACAAGACTCAAAGCCCTAGGCACCCCAGCAGGAAGCAGCGCGCAGGCCCATGCCAGTGTTGACTCTGGGAGGGAAAGGGTTAAAGCAGTGCCAACCTCAGGTGCTGGTGAAATGGAGAGAGTATCTCTCCAAAAGGCGAATGGCAGGATATACCCTAAGGGTTCACATAAACAGTATCCTGGCACAGTCACGACTCGTGGATTTTGGGGTCCTGGAGCTCAGCTCCTTTCCACTAGAAAGGTCTAGACACAGGTGTGTTGCTTCCTATTCCTGAGCCTGTTTCCTCATAAAACACCCTGCCTCAAGGGGGTGGGGTGGGGGCGGTGCATGAATGAGGTAAGAGACGGGATAGGCTTGCGAGAACCTGCCACAGGCTGAGAACTGAATGACCTGAACTGTCATCACTGCTTTCTTTTCTTGGCTGGGACATGGCCATTTCCAGCAGCGTTCCTGGGCTGGGACACAGAGACGCTGAGTTTGTACGCTGATGCACAGGTGAGGACGGGTGCAGGGAATTTCAGGTGGAGCTGGGCTTGGAGCTTCCTCAGGCTTGGTTGGATGAGTCTGAGATGGGATTAAGGTGTGGTTCTTGCTGCCCAGTGCCTCTGGTCCAAGGCCAGGGGCTGGATATGGATCTGGGAGGCAGGACTGAAGAATTTATAGCCTCCTCTTTACCTCCATCCCCACCTGACACAGCAGCTACGGGGAGTGCTGCTGGACGAGGAGCCCCGCTCTCCGAGAACGCCCCACACCTCAGGTGCAGCCCACATCCAATGTCCATCTAATGGAGGAAGAGTAATCAAAGGCCTGGCCTTCTTGTCCCAACAAGTCTGAAGGTCAAACCCCTGCTTTATCACTCATGATGGGATCCACTGAAGCCACTGTTGTTATATCACAGATAAATCCTCCCCTCCTCTGCTCAATCCTGCTCTCTTCCTTTTCTCCTCCAAGCGGGTATTGATCTCAGTAATGCCCTAATACAATTGGCCCTTGAACAGCATGGTTTTGAACTGTGCAGGTCCACTTATACCTGCATTTTTCCAACTGACCCACACAGTTCAAATCCATGTTATTCAAGGGTGAACTGCATGGTTGGGAATCGTGTATGTGTATGTGTGGGGAGCCAGGTGTAGTTACACACAGATTTTCTACGGCACAGGAGGTCAGCACCTCTAACCCTGGAGTTGTTCAATGGTCAACTGTAAATACCTTCTGGGGAACCTCCTACACAGAGTGCAACAGAAACTCCTACACAGGGAATGTCCTGGAGCAATCAAAGCCTTCCTGGAGGAGATGGTATTTATGTTGAGAACAATCTCAACAGGTGTAGAGGGGGTGTCTTGAGGATGTCATTGTGCCAGTGAGCATAGGAAGAGCATGGACAGATGCCACAGCAAAAAGCACGACCACTTAACTTATTTTGTGACCTGGAGCCAGTTATTTCACCCCTTTGAGCCTCAGGTTCTTTCTCCGTAACAGGTAATCCCTCCGTCCTGGGGTTCTTAGGATGTTTTCAATTAGGGTGAGTTTCTCAGCTTTTCTCCATGACAGCTGGGCCAGGTGAGGTTTCCCTGTGCACTGCCTTCTCCCTGCTTCCTCCTTTAAAAAAGTCTTCACTCATCCTTATGACAACGGGGCAAGGTTGGCATGATTATCCACCCCCATTTCACAGGTAGGAAAGTTTGGACCAGGAGAGGGAATTGTTCACTTTACATCACATTATTATTCCGTCATCAAATTTTTATTTTATTATTTTTTATTATTTATTTTTAGAGAGGGGAAGGTAAGGAGAAAGAGAGGGAGAGAAACATCAATATGTGGTTGCCTCTCGTGTGTCCCCTACTGGGGACCTGGCCCGCAACCCAGGCATGTACCCTGACTGACCCACACTGGTCTGACTGACTGATTCCCTGACTGGGAATCGAACCGGTAACCCTTTCATTTGCAGGCTGGAGCTCCATCCACTGAGCCACACCAGCCAGGGCAATTCATTCATCAAATTTTTAAACATGAGCCACTGCTCTGTTCTGGGCTCTGGGGTTAACAGAATTGCCCTCCTGGGGCTGACATTCTAGTGGAAGAGAGAGAGAAATGAATAAATTAAAAATGAATAAATAAGTGGACCAAACTATTTCTATTTGCGGTAAGTGCTATCAAGACCACAGAGAAACCCTGGCTGGATTGCAGGCTAGACCCCTAGCTGGGGCATGCAAGGCAACCATTTGATGTGTCTCTCACACATCAATGTTTCTCTCCCTTTCTCCCTCCCTGCCCTCTCTCTATAAAAAATAAATAAAATCTTTAAAGACCACAGATAAGGGAGATGGGACCAAGAGTGACAGGGGTCCTTAGGAGCGGGGGTGGGGGAGCCTTGCTGAGATGACCTTTGAGCTGGGACCTGGAGGAGGAGCCAAGCTAAAAGCAGAGAGATCTGGGCAAAAGAAACAGCTGCTAGGACTGACTGACAGCTCTTCCTTTGTATCTTCCTAAAGGTAGGTACTTTAATTTTCCACTTTACTTATATAGAGACTAAGGCCCAGAGAGGTTACAAAGCCAGTAAATAGAAGGGAGAAACCCAAAGCAAGTAGGAGCTGGGCTTTCTCTAGGACTTTAGTGGACATCTGAGTGTTAGAATGAAGAAGCAGGGAGTGACCTTCAACTTGGTCTGTGATCTAGGACCTTCCTCACACTGGAGCTCGTTTGGGAGATAAACAGCTAATCCTGGGGATGGAGGTGGGAACTTGGTTGTCAGGTGCTCAAGACAAATTCCCACATCCTTGGAGAAAGAGAAGAAAAAAACTGACCTCTCCCTCTCAAAATCCTGGCCAAGTGTTGGACAACCAATCTGATGCCCGGCCCACCCAGGGCAGGGTCCATTGTTCCCAGCCGCCTCCCTCCAGGAATGTTCATATTTTCCATCTGCCAAGTGGAGGTAATGAATAGTTTCTGTCTCACAGGGTTGTCATGAAGATTAGATGTATTATTGGAACCCCTACCACACTGTGAGCTATTCTATTGCTAGCTGCTTATTACTCACCCTGCAGCAGCCCTGTGAGGTTCCTTAGCTTAGTGAGGTAGAGGGCAAGATGCACACTCCACATCAGAGAATCCCTTACATCCAGTCACCAAGGCCTTTAAGTGTTTTCTTTTAATTTTCAGAGAGAGGGGAAGGGAGGGAGAGAGGGTACACACCGCTCGCACTGGGGACCTGAGGGTGACACACATTGATGTGATTGTGTGTGCCTCTTGCACTGGGGACCTGGCCTGCTATCCAGGCTTGTGCCCTGACTGGCAATCAAACTGGCGACCTTTTGGTTTGCAGGCCGGCACTCAATACTGAGTCACACCAGCCAGGGCTAAACTTTTGAAATTAACCCTTCTTTCCACCTTACTGCTGCCATGCTAATCTAGGCAGCAGACTTCCGGTGAGCCTCTGCTTCCACGATTGCCCTTTCGCTTCCTCCTCCAGTCTACCACATTTTGCCGTGCATAATGTGCTCCTGCATATAACGTGCACCCACGTTTTTGTGCATATTATACATGGGATTATTATACCCATGGTATGTAATCATTATGCCAATGTGTAATGCACATCCTTATTTTTCCCTCAAAAATTTGGGCAAAAAGTGCGCATTATACATGGCAATATACTGTATCTGTTCTCCACTGCTTGGCTAGTGATCTTTCCAAAATGTAAATCTGACCATGTTGTGCTCCTGCTTAAAATCCTTCAGTGGTTTATGTTACTTTTTTCTAAATCCTCACCAGAGGACATTTTTTTCACTGCTTTTAGAGAGAGGAAGGGGGAGAACTATCAATGGGAGAAACATCGATGCAAGAGAGAAGCATCGATTGGTTGCCTCCCAGACCAGGGTTTGTATGCACACAGACCAGGGAACGAACCTGCAACTCAGGTATGTGCCCTGACCAGGAACTGAACCTGCGACCCTTTGGTTACAGGGACAATGGATGCTCCAACCACTGAGCCACAGTGGCAAAGGCTCCTGTTACTTTTTGGGTAAAGCCCCCCTCGTTAGGGGGCCTACAAGGCAGTGTATGATGTGGCCCAACTCACCGCAACACACTGCCTCAGGGCTGGCATACCTGCAGTTCTTGCTCCTTGAAAGAGATCCCCACCTTTACGCGGATCCTTCAAACTATGGCTCAGCTGGTCAGACTCTCTCCCCCCGCCCTGTGAATCTCTCCTTTGCAGCCCCTGTCACAGTGAAGTTTTATATTTATCCAATCATAGGATTGCTCCTGTGTTATTTTTTTCATTATTTACTTATTGATTTGAGAGAGAGAGAGAGAGGATTTGTTGTTCCACTTATCTTATGCATTCATTGGTTAATTCTTGTAGTGCTCTGACCGGGACTGAATGTGCAACCCTGGCACGTCAGGATGACACTCTTAATTAACTGAGCTGCCTGGCCAAGGCTGGCTCCCTGTTTTCATTCATCATAGTAACACCCTGTAGGCCCAGGCCCAGCTCATAAATTCTTGCTGAATGATCAAGTCTTTTCCATATGCAGATAGGACAGGACTGAGAAGCTACTTACGTGTCATACAGCTGATTAAGAATTGAGGTCTCTTGACTCTTCCCCCAGCTCTTTCCATTAAACTGTCCAAACTCCCTCATCCCCTTCTGTCCTCAATGGAGGACAAATTTGTCAAAACAAATTCTGGATTTCTTCCTGGCTGCTGAGGTCAGTGATTAGCGCCTACTGTCAGAACTTGGCAAAAGGCCTTCTGTAGTTTGATATCGCTAACAGAATATTCTTTGAGAGTGTCACCCAGTGCCATCCGGAGGTTCTGGAGAGAGCGAAACCCTTCAACATCCTCTTCCTGGTGGTAGGTCACAAGAGTGACCTGGTAGCTGAGTGACAGGTGACACTGGAGGAAGGGGAGAAGCTGGCTGCCTCTTCTTTGGGTACTCACTGTGTTGAGACCTCAGCCAAGAGCAACAGTAACATCAGCACAGCCTTTGAGCTGCTCACCCAAGAGATCTATGAGGCGGTGAAGAAGGGGCTCATGGGGCAAAACTGAGTGGGAAGGATTGAAAAGCAGGTCCCATTGCAGGCCAACCTCAGGAGACAGAGAACCGAAGCAGGGCAAGGTGGATGTGCTGGTGGCCCCTGGGGGGAACAACCACATCCCCTGAAGCCCGCAGAGCCCTCATGATCCACAAGGGCTATGCTGGGCACATGAGAGGACGATGCTGATGTTAGGTGCCACTGAAGGTCATGACCCTGAGGTCTAAAGGGGCTTGGTTTCCTCTGCACTGCACGGTGGTGAAAATACCAGGATCAGAGATACCAACAACTAAGAGCAGACAGGGCTTTCCCTGAGGCTACTGCCATCCCTTCTTTGTGCCCAGGATGAACACAACTTTCTCTAGGAGTTCCAGAAGAGCAGGTTAACAAAGGCTTTGTCAAAACCAGGATGCCTCTTCAGTTTGGGCTCATGAGAAGTCACCCTACCCAATTCTATGGCAGAGAAGCTGGACTCAAACTTCTACCGATGGTATAGCCTTCCTTGGAGTAAAGTAATGGAAAATCCCTAGGTCTTTTCTTAGGCACAGAAATGAGTAACATTGCTGCCACCTGCTGACTAGGGGGCTGCATCCAGTTCCGCTGCTCCTCCTAACTCCCTCTGGGATTCCAAAGGCTGTAAGCCATGCACCCTGTATCTTTCGATTCATAAGTTCTTTATTCTGGAAAAGCAAATGAAAGTCATATTCATATAAACACTGACATTACAAAGTATAGGGAAAAAGGGAAGGGAGAAGGAAACAGAAACCTCTACAAATCCTGCTAATACTGTCTCACCAAACAAGACCATATACTGCTTTGTCCCATATTCAATCACTTATATAATAAACCACAAATAAAATCTTCTCTGGAAGATACATTGCTCCTCTTTGAGACGGCAGGGAAAAGGGGCCAGAGTGGGGGTAGGAGGCTTTATTCTTTTGGCAGATCCTCTCAGTCATTATAGATATTGCTGCACTGTTAATAAAAAATATATGCTTCTCTGTAAAGCATTAAAAAAAAAAAAAAAAATCCAAGGATGAGATGGCTGAGGTCTCAGCTCAAGTATCTCCAAATACATTGTTGTCCATTCCCTGACCTTTCCATGTGTTATTTCTTGGTTGTTTTCCGGATCAATGCCATTCTCTGAAAGGAGAGAGAAATAACCAATACACAGGTTACAGTCAGGAACTTTCTGGGACGTCCCGTGTGGCTAGCAGGCGGCATGGTCTGTATTACAGGCACAGGCCAGCTCAGCAAGCTCCATCTAACCTGGGGACAATCAGGAGGGCCCCAGAGATGTTTAGATGGGCCAATGGATCCATTCCATTCACCCAAAGACAAACTGCTCTAGGCTAGCAGGATGGCAAACAAGTTAAAAGCAGAAGGTGACACAGATTTGTAATCACAGTGATGTGCAGGGTGTCTATTTCTAGGTCTGAATCTCAAGGTCTACCTTCCCTTTACGTCCTTTGATTGCTACTGGCTCATAAAGTTTAGTTCTACTTGGATCAAGGGAATGGAAATATATTACTTTTACTAACAAACTGTAGCTGCGGAAAGGTTTTGCTTTGAAAGCATATCAAGGAAATTAATATTTTTAAATGTCTTGATTAAATAAACCATTCTATAAATCTGATCATCACTCAAGAGATATACACTAATGGTACCGCTTTGCTTCTCTTTTCATGCTGTTGTCAATTTTTTCATGTGATCTTTTTCCAGTTTCACAAGTGGCTATCACAGCTGCCACTTCTAGGAATTATGTTTTTAGCTGGAACAATAATTATTCCTTTAATAATTGCTTTTATTTAAGACAATTTGAAATTGCAATAAATTATTTCAGTAAAAAAAAAACAAAAAACAAACAGCAGGTGACAGCCCTTGCCTTTTCGGGGACTTAGGGGAAAGGCCATCAAAGCTTGTGTCTTCTAGGCTCCCCACCTACACCCACTTTCTTCTCTGACAGTGCACATAATAGGAGAGGGGCCTTTGTTTCAAGCCTGTTGCCATTTCACACTTGGTGACTTGCACTGAAGGAAGCTGACACCGACAACTTCTACCACAACCCATCAGGGAAAGAGTCAGACCATGGAGTTCAAATTTGACTATTACCAGCCCTGGCCAAATTAGTGAATGAATTTCTTTGCTTGCAGTTTTTGACCAAGCAATATTCTATTATATTTGTTGATACACACACACACACACACACACACACACATGAATAGGACTAAAAAATGGATAATTTGGGAGCAGAGACAAAATGGCCATCTTTCATCTGGAGGGACTCCCTTTTGAAGAACACTGTGGTCCTTTGATCCAGGCTATTGACAGCTTTCTTACAGGGCTGCTTCTGTGAGCTCTAGGGTCGCACCCACTCCAGAGATCCCACGCTATGGAAAAGCAAGGGACGCTTGGCCAAGATGGCCCAGGTGCGTGAGCTAGAATAAGCTCACATTTCAGATCAGAGTAGCCAGTTAAATTAAGACAGAAAAGACAACAGCTTTGTCAAGGGAGGCAACGAATGCCACTAGACCGACCAATGACAGGGACAACTTGCTCCACAGCAGAAGTGGTGTTAGGTTCTCAGACTGACTTCTCAGTTCCATGGTGAGAGAGAGAGAACGAAGGGTATGCTATGACAGAGGCCGGAATGCCTGGCAGAGCAGCCTGGGTGCTACCTCCCCCGACAAGTAAAACACATCTCTGCTTTCCTTAAACTGTCCTCAGTCACAGGGCCATATGTGATGTTCAAATCACCAATAATGAAGGGAGACTCCATTAAGGAATTGGGCGGGGATGAGTTCCATCCCTATTAGAAGAACCTAGGCTCAACAGCTTTAAGCGATGCCCTTCAGAGTTGACAGAAAAAACAGAGACCCTGCTGTGGGAACAGCCACACATGAAGGAAATATGTGACGGATCCCCCAAGGCGCCCCGCTGCCGCTGCCCTCTCTGCCCTTCGGTCCAGAGTGAGGCGGGCTGTGAGGGGAAGTGACAGCTGCAGCGATGGCAGCTGCCCGCACGCCTCTGCCTCCAAGACACAGCTCAAGGGGTCAGCTGTGGCTGCCCTGGGGCTCTGATGGCTCCTCACCTGTTTGTGAGCTTCTGTGGTGCAAGCTTTTTTGTAGGGTCGGATTTCTTCAGAGCCAAATCCTGGGATCCACATGTTCCACTGGCGCTCTGCAAGGCAAAGGCCGGCACAGAGGTTAGGAGACTGGGAAGACGGGGTCAGGGTGCAGTGTGATCCTCAGACAAGGGTTGCGGAGGAGAATGAATCTAAGCAATCAACTACACTAAGTAACAGGAACCCTGCAGAAGGATTCTATGGAATACAAATGGGGGAACCCCATGTTGTGCCTCCAAGGTTCCCAAGGATACCATCTGACCTTCTTGCAGAGACAAAAGGGGTAAATGAGTCAAAGCTATGGGTGCTGAGTCATAAGGTTTCCCTGAAGCTCCACAAAAAAGGAAAGTGATTTGTTTCTTCAGTTGTCTTACTCCTATGCTCAAAGTAACCTCTCCCAAACCCAGAGGAAGAGTGGGGACAGAAGGGCGTTCCTAGTGTTCTGGAGCGGAGAGCCAAGGCTCAGCTCTGCTGCTTCCCTGTGAGGCTGTGTGACATTGCCCCCTACAGTTGAAAAATCTGCATATAATTTTTTGGAAAGCATATTTATTTATTTATTTATATGAGAGAGGAGAAGGGAGGGAGAAAGAGAGGGAGAGAAACAAGGTTGTGAGAGAGAAACATCAACCGGTTGCCGCTGGTGCACGCCCCCACCGCAGACCGAACCCACAACCCAGGCATACACCCTGACCAGGAATCGAACAGGTAACCTTTCGCTTTTTGGGACAGATGCCCAACCAACTGAGCCACACTGGTCAGGGCTGCATATAACTTTTGACTTCCCCAAAACTTTAGTAACAGCTTACTGTTGACTGGAAGGCTTACCAATGACATAAACAGTTGATAAACCTAATTTTGTAAGTTATTATGTATTATACACTGTATTCTTACAGTAAAATAAGCTAGAGAAAGGAAAATGTTAAGAAAATAATTGTTAGGTTCGGCAGAGTGAGGGGAGAGACGACAGGAGAACAGGCAATGAGTTTATCAGATTGAATCAGCGACCTGCTGGCAAGTGGGCAGAGTCCGAGCATTTTTATGAGTTTAGGGTTGAGGCTTAAGGGATGGGTCAGGGGTGAGGCATGAGGTAAGCTGCCTAGGGAGAGGGCTAGGGTTGACTAGCTTCTGCACAATACTAGATTATTCACAAGCCTATCGTTTAGCACGGAATGATCTGTGGTCAGATAGGACTGGGTGAACAAGAACTGTGGCCGCAGGCTAGGGCAGTAAACGGGGCAGGAGTTTGGGGAGTACAGGAAGCCCAGTGTAACTGAGGGCCATTGCCTGTTTGATGAATTATTAGGCAGCAGGTCACAGCACGGGCAGAACGGCAGCTTCTAGCTCTTACAATCATTAGGAAGAAAAAATACATTTACTATACTGTGTGTAGTTATTGAAAAAATATGCATATAAGTGGATCTACATAGTTCAAACCTGTGTCATTCAAGGGTCAACTGTACATGCACAGGACCATTTACAGAATGAGTGTCTATTTAAAAACAGTTACAAGGGAACTCCTGTGTCACACTTCCCTAGAGTACTTTAAACATTTGTTTTGCAAATTTGTTTTGCTCCAGGCAGGCACTTACTCAAATCAAATTGTATATAAGTGGTTTCATAGCTATAATTTGTGTCTAACGCACATTAAATATTGAGTAAATGAGTGGTTCATGTTTGGTTCTAGAGTAAGTTTATATACAGCTCTCTTCCAATATTTTTTTGAAAATAAGAATGAACTCTTCTGCTAATATTATTTGTTGTCAGTACTTGAAACTGGCACTAAGTTTATTCTCTGGGAATTAAACTTTACAATCGACACAAAGTGTATTGAAATGTGCATTTGCAAAGTTATTTTAAAGAAGGAGAGTAGCTACCAGGCATGAATGCATATCTGTAAGGATGTGTACAATGTATTTAAAAATATGTGTATTTGTAGTCCATATGATATTACTATAATAACAACAATCATTTAGTGAATAAGACATAGAGTAAAATGCCTGGTACAAAGCAGCATTGTACAAACCGTCCTATGTACATTATCCCATTTAACATTCACATTTCTGAAGAAAGACTCTGTCAATCAAAGAGGAGGTTATTCAACTATGAAAATACAGAAAATTGGGTCAAAAGCAGACACTGGCATCACAGTCCATCCAGAAGAGAGAAGTCAAGAATTTACAGCCCTGCCCTGGCTGGGTAGTTCAGTGGGTCAGAGTGCTGTCCCAATAGGCCAAGGTTGTGGGTTCGATCCCATGGTCAGGACATATACAAGAGTCAACCAATGAATCCATGGATGAGTGGAACAAATCTGTGTGTTCTCTCCCCCTCCCTTCTTCTCTCTCTAAAATCAATGAAAAAAAAAAAAGTATTTGCAGGCCCATTGGCAAAGGCTATCTTTGTTGAGAGGTGTGGGGGGTGTGCAGCAGACCTGGTACATCTCATCCCAGGTTCCCTAATTCCCCAAGCCCTACAAGAAATCTTTTGATTATGATTCAGCTTCCATAAGACTTGCTACAGATGCTGCCTGGTCATGCAGCCTTTTGAACATTCTAGTCTCTGTGATAATTATTTCTTACCATTAGTGAATAAACTGATATTCCAATTTTATTTTCAATAATTAAAATACAAAATGTTTTTTAAAATAGCAATGTTAAACTCTCAGTGTAATATAATCTGTTGTGGTTTTATGAGTGTGATAAAATATACATAAAATTGACCATTTCAAACACTTTTAAGTGTGTAGTTCAGTGGCATTAAGCATATTAACAGTGTTGTGCAATGATTACCTCTACCCATCTCCAAAATTTTTTCATCAAAACCCTGTACACATTAAACAGTAACTTGCCATTCCCTCCCCTCTCCCCAGTGCCTGGTGACCACCATTCTACCTTATGTCTCTAAGAATTTGTACTGTGGTGGTTTTAAAACATGTCTACAAATCCCTTCACACTCCTCCCTTCAAGAAGTGGAGTTTACCTTCCCTCCCCTTGAACCTAGACCGGCCTTTGTGACTGCCCAAAGGGACAGAATTCAGCAGAAGTGATGGCTCTGTGACTTTGGAGACTGGGTTGGAAAAGCCCATGCAGTTTTTGCTAGGTGCTTACGGGACACTCATTCTGGGAGTCTTCAGCTGCCACGTAAGAAATCCAGCCATCCTGGGACTGTGTATGAGGAGCCCATGTAGAGAGATGATAGAGACAGAGAGAAAGAAACCTGCACAGTCCCAGCTTTTTGAGAGTTCCTAGTCCAGACATCAGACATGGCCATGAAGCTCTGTTGCGGGCTAAACTGTATCCCCAAAAGATATATTGAAGTCCTAACCCCTAGGACGTCAGAATGAAAGGCAAATAGAATGGTTGCAGATGTACTGCTGAACCTTGAACAATGTGGGCGTTAGGGGCACCGACCCTCATGCAGTGGAAAATCCACATGTAACAAGTCAGTCCTCTGCATACATGATTCCCAACCTTGGATAGAAAATACCTTTTTCAGTCCATGGCTGGCTACATCTGCAGCATGCAAATTGAGAATACAAAGGGCTGACTGCGTATTTATTGAAAAAAGCCTCTATAGAAATGGACCCACGCAGTTCAAACCCATGCTGTTCAAGGATCAACTCTTATGAGTTAAGATGAGGTCATTACGGAGTATGATGGACCCTTAATCCAATCTGACTGGTATCTTATGAGAAGAGGATAAGAGACCCAGAGAGAGGCCATGTGAAGATGGAGGCACAGACTGGAGTTATGTAGGTACAAACTGGAGCGATACGGCTATCAGCCAGAGAATGCCAAGGATTACTTGGCATTACCACTAGAAGCTAGTAAGAGGCAAGGGAAGATTCTTTGATAGAGGCATTGAAGAAACCACATCCTGCTGACACCTTGATTTTAAACTTTAGCCTTCCAGAACTAGGAGAAAACACGTTTTGGTGTTTTAAGCCACCTAGTTTGTGGTACTTTATGATGTCAGCCTTGGAGACTAGCACACCTCCCTTCAATACAGTCTGAGCCTCACCCACCATCTGACTTCAATCACATGAAGACTGTTAGCAAAACTGTCTAGCTAAGCCCGGCCAACGTCCAAACTTATGAACCAAAACAACTGTTATTGTTTTAAGCTGCTGTTTTGGGGTGATTTGTTACATAATAGATCATCAAAATGTCTGTTCTCTGCTACTAATAACAGCAACATTAACCAGAAGTGTGTTATTTACTCCACCTGGACTACCAATGCCTCCCAAAACAGTGTCTTCTTGATACCAGGGGGTAAGCCTTTCAGTAATCAGTCATTGGCTGATCTGCAATGAATTCCTTAATATCTTCTGCATCATTCACTTGGCCCGACTGTCTTTGTAGTTAGAGACTGCTTGCTTTCTTTTTTCTTTTTTAAATTTTATTTATATTTTAGAGAGAGGGGAAGAGTGGGAGAAAAAGAGGGAAAGAAACATCGATGTGTGAGAGAAACATGATTGGCTGCCTCTCACATGCCTCCAACTGGGGACCCGGCCCACAGCCCAGGCGTGAGCCCTGACTGGGAATCGAACTGGCCACCTTTTGCTTTATGGAGTGATGCCCAACTCTTTGAGCCACACTAGACAGGGCAACTGTTTGCTTTCTTTTGATCACACTATTACCAATGCAGAGGGGAGCTTACTCATTTTTAGGAGATTATGGTTATCAATGTTAGATGAGTATCTTCCAGGAAAACCCAAGCTCTACTTTAGTGGCTATTAAGTTTATTAAGTAAGATATTTGCATTATAATTATAATTTACTTGGGAAAAATGCATAGATAAGGCAAAAACTGGAAGGGAAACATCATTATTTGAATGGTAGAGATATAGTAGCTGCATTTACTAAGCTCTTACTTTAGGCCAGGTCCTGTGCCAGTCATTTTACAAATCAAATCCATAATTCTCACAATCACCATATAAGGAGGATATTATGATCTCCACTTTACCAATGAGGAAATGGGATCTAAGAGAAATTAAGTAAGAAGGATAAGGTGACACAGTTAGAAAGTGGTAGACCCCACGTCTGGAACACACAAATCTCAGAGCCCGAAGGTCGAATCCCGGCACAAAGTTTCCTCTGACTACACTGTCCCTTGCGGTCCTGAAGGAGCAATAGTGTGGACACCTGAGGGAGAAACGAGACCACGTACCTAGGTGCAGCTGGACATCCTTCACCTCCAGGGTGCTGGACTTGCGGTGCCGAGCAAGCTGGCAGGCTGCTGTCACCACACTCTCGATAAAGTCATCGGCAATCTGCAGCAGCATCTGGGGAATACAAAAGTATGGGAGAGTAACCATGTCTTTGGCAGGGGGGCTGCCTGGAGCTGGGGCAACCACATATTTAGGCAGGCTTTCTATTAGAAGGCCTACAATCAGCCTTTGGCTTAAGGTGAGGAGGAGGAGTGACATGGCAATAGAGGCACATCAACTCATTAACCAGGTGGAGTGCAATTCACACCTTTCTGAGGATGAGCTTTCTACACTCTCCACCCAGCAGGCATCAACCAGCCCAATCTATCTCCCCCATATTGTCTTCTAAATTAGGTGGGAAAACAAAAGTGAGTCATTATTATTCCTCACTCATAGCCTCTTAAAGCATTTTTATCTCTATTTTCTTACCTAGTCCTTATAATAATCCTGTGGGAAAAAAATGGGGCATGAATTTTATCCTCATTCTACAGTAGAGGATGCTACGACGTAAGGAGACTACCTTGTCCACGGCCATGGACAATGGCCATGCAACTACTAAGCAGCAGAATGTGGATTCAACCTCAGGGTTCTGAGTTCAAACCCCAGGTTCTTTCCACTTCATTATAAATTAATCCTGGACTGTGTGATGAGAAAAATCAGAATTCTGAAGCTAAAAACATTATGCTAAGGCCCTGACTGGTGTGGCTCAGTTGGTTAGGCATCAGCCTGCAAAGCAAAAGATTGCCAGTTTGAATCCTGGTCAAGGGCACATGCCTGGATTATGGTTTGGTCCCCAGCTGGGGTGCATGATACAAGAGGCAACCGATCAATGTTTTTATATCACATCAATGTTTCTCTCCCTTTCTCCCTTCTTCCCCCTCTCTCTAAAGTAAATAAAACCTTAAAACAAAACAAAACATTATGCTAAGTGAAAGAGGGCAGTCACAAAATGTTATGATTCCATATATTTGAAATGTCCAGAATAGGCAAATCTATAAACACAGAAAATATATTAATAGTTAGTTGCCTAGGGCTGTGGGGGCTGGGGAAAATGGGGAGTGACTACTGAGTATGGGTATCTTTTAAGAATCATGAAAATATTCTAAAATCGATTGTGTTAATGGTTGTATAATGCTGGCAAATATACTAAAAACCACCAAACTGTATATTTCAAATAGATGAATTTTGTGGTACATGAATTATATCTTAAAAAAGGTGCTGCTCCAAAAAAAACTACACTTACACGAAACGGGCAAATATTTTCCCTCTGGTTAAAATAAAACAAAACAATGGGGTTATACTGTTTTTATAACCTGCATTTTCTTTCCCTATCATTACATATGCCTCAGCAAAGGCAAAACCAAAACAAAATATACAAAATCATCCCAGAATTGAGGCACATAGGTCTCTAGAATAAAAGAGGCCTCCAAAAACTCAGTACAACAAATGTAAAAAATAAACATACTAAGGCTCATATGAAAATTCAGAACAGGAAAAAGATAAGACTTCAATAGGATCAGGATCAGAATAGTTTAAGGTTTCTTAATAGGAGATTTTTAGAAGGTAATAGAGTAATCTCTTCACAGCTGAAAGGAAAAAAGATTTCCAAAACAGAATTCTAAATACAGCCAAACTAAAAATTAAGTGTGAAGTTAGAATGTATACATTTGAAGACATTTACCTCTCATCTATCTTTTTGTAGGAAGTTAAAAAAAAAAGTGCTTTAACAAAAAAAGGGAATTATGTAAAAACAGGATGTATGATCTAGGAAACAAGAAATCCAAAGAGGCCAAAGAAAGACCTAGGAGGGATTTGTGCAAGTGGACCAAGATTAATCAGACCACAAGAGGATGGAGTTTTCTGGGAATGATATCTTTGGTGGGGTGGGGAGATGGGAGATGACCCAAACCAATAGATTATTTTTCCATTTGGAAAACAGTGTTGACAGGTGTATAACAGCTGATAGTGGAAACAGAATAAAAAAGGCGCATAGAAAACTAATAAAAATGAGTCAATGATCAACTTCAAGAGAATAAGTTACACAAGAAACGAAAAGTAATCAAAGATACGAATGACTTGGCTCAGCGGTGAACAATATTTACATAGTCAGAATAATGTAAATACTGACTTTCAAGTTATTAAATAATTGTGACCAAACTATACTGGAAAAATGAGGGGAAGGAAGGAGTATATGGTATGTATGTGAATTGTTTAACAAAATTATTATCTATCATAACAGGAAGTCAATAGACTATTATAAAATTAATGAATCAGCCCTGGCTGGTGTGGCTCAGTGAATTGAGTGCTAGCCTGCAAACCAAAAGGTTGCTGGTTTGGTTCCTGGTCAGGGCACATGCCCAGGTTGCACTATGGTCCCCAGTTGGGGGCGTGGGAGAGGCAATCAATTGATGCTTCTCTCACACATCAATGTTTCTATCCCTTTCTCCCTCCCTTCACCTATCTCTAAAAATAAATACATAAAATTAAAAATAAATAAATGAATCAAAGAATATCTGTTAAAAAGGGGAAAAGAATGAAAATAAAAGTATCTGTTTAAGCATATAGTTTTGAAATATGGAAGAATATTCTAGGAACAACTAAAATTGTTGAAAGTGATTGCCTGTGAGCAGCAGATTATGCCCTTTTTGACAGACAAAAGTAGCAGCAGCTGTTAGGTATAAAGTGACTTAAGTTATCCCATGGGACCCCCACAATAACCCTGTAGATTAATAATGTCATACCCTACTAAGACAGGGGAAGCTGAGTCTCAGGAAGCTTAAGTGATTCGTCCATAGCTACAAAGGGTTAGGTGGCAGAGGCAAGATGCAAATTCAGATCTGTCTGCCTCTGAAGTCTGTGCTTGTAACCACTATTCTTTTCTGGTTCTCAGGGACACAGTCTCCGGGGTACCCAACCATCTTACCTCCTCCACATCTTCATCCAGTTGTTCATTAGGATCCACTTCTCTTACTAAGTCTTGTAATTTCTTCTTGGTCAATACCTAAAGTTAATTGGGAGATTTTTCAGCCAAGTATCAAACAAACAAACAACTCATTACCTTATGATGAAGAACAACTGTGAATTCATTGGCTTCAGTTTCTGCTCTCCAAAGAGTTAACAGTCTGGCCTACCTGGTGGTATTGCTATGACTACACTCTCAAGACTGAAGTGGCCTAGGGAAAGGCAGAAAGGGCAATTTGGAAGAGAGGCCAACGTCTATCAGGCAATTTATTTCGGCCTCATCTCTTCTTCTCAGTGTGCCTATCTCCCTCTACATTAAATAATTTACAATTCTCTGACCACCACAAATCATACCGTGACTCTGCTGCCTTTGGACATGCTCTTCCACCCTTCTTTCTACTTGCTTGGCTCATGGTTCCTCCTTTCTGATGCTTTTTTTAGCCCAGCCATGTAAAAGCAACCTTCCTCCTTTCGCCTCTCCTGTACCCTGTGTACCCTTCTATCATTATGTACATTTATAAACTTGCCTGTTTCTGGCTTAATAAGCTGAAAGCTCCCTGAGGGCAGGGAACATGTGTTCATCTTTGTACAACTAAATCTTTGTATAGGTATGTACAACTATGATCTCTCCTTCACAGAGGAAATGTCATGTCAAATATATATACCATTAAAAAATGACCAAAGAGCCCTGGCTGGTGTGACTCAGTGGATTGAGTGCCAGCCTGTGAACCGAAGGGTCACTGGTTCGATTCCCAGTCAGGGCATATGCCTGGTTTGTGGGTCAAGTCCCCTGTGGGAGACACGTGAGAGGCAACCACACATTGATGTTTCTCTTTCTCTCTCCTTTCCCCCCTCTCTAAAAAAATAAGTAAATAAAATCTTAAAAAAGAAATGATCAAGGACATACACTAAAATGCTACCCATAGATATTTTTGGGTGGTAGTAGCATTATTCGCTATTTATTCTTTGTGGTTTTCAAAAGTTTCTGTGATAAACATGTATAACTTGGAAACAGGGAAAAATAGAATTTTTAAAAAAATAAACATTTGTTAATGATGTTTCAGCTCCATGTTTCTCCATTCTATCATTATCACTTAATTCAAGCCTTCAGCACGTCTTAATTTGTTGTAAAAGTGTTAGACTTGACCTTCTTCCTAGTCTACCCCTTTCCTACCTTTTTTGTCTCTTTACTGCCAAGTTAATCCTCCTAAGACATCTGTTTTGATTATATTACTCCTCTAATAAATATTTGCAAAGAGTTTTTATTAAGAGTTCCAATGGAAACTGATTAGTATAGGTCCAATATGTTTTGTTGTAATCCTACCCACATAATTTTATCTCCTGTTCTCCGATAAACCCCACATTCACATAGGTTGGTCTTCTCACTACCTGTCCAGTCCTTCCCATTCACCTTTGCTAGTCTCTCCTCCCATTCTCTTGAAATGCTGTCCCCTTATCCTAGGCTACCCAACCTATGAGGCCCAAGTCAAGAGATTACATTTATTTTTTATTTCCTGTGGCTCTGGAGGACAGCATCAGGATCAGGAATTAGAAAGGGGAGGGGGGGCAGATTTTAGAATCACTGCAGAAAATTAATAATGGCAGCAGCTAGAGGACCTGGAAGGAGAAAAGGCTGAAGGCAAGAGTACTTTTATTATAAGAATAATGAATACTGAATCCATTAATTATTTTACTATTTTATTTAACTATTTTATCAAATAATTATATAGCACATATATTTACATATAAATATATAAACACCTGTCATAGATAAAGTATTGTATTAATGTGTGTATGGATATAGGTATATAAGCATGTAGACACACACAAATACTACAAGTAAAAATTGATAAATGTTGCACATGATAATTCAATTGAGAACTTTAGAAGTCTGAGGAGGGAAAAAGACCTCTTTCAACTGAGGGGAAGGGGCAGCATCTGAGATGGACATTTCTCAGAGCATTACTGGTTCAAGTAACAGATAAGCGGTGACTACAGAGAGCAAAAAGCAAGAGGATGATACCTGATTGTTTTCAGGGCTGAGACGCCCTCCCGACCCAGGAGTGCCTGGTATCTTAACCACTGTAGTGCTATTGGCCATGGAGCCTTGTGGAGGGGTGTTGGCTGGTTCTGGTTTTATGGATGAGAAATTGGAGAGGTTGATTAGGGCTGAGGGGCCAAACTGGTTCATAATCTGCCGAGCTTTGGACTTCAGCTCATAGAGCTTATCAAGATCCTGTTTCTTTCTGGAGGTATGAGGACCGAGGCCAATCAACTGTGGAAGGAAAACATGAAAATTAGTTCCAGAGGCACCTGTAATAAAGTATAAGTTTTGACAGTAAAATTATATGTGGTCTACCAGGCTTCGAAGGGTCTTCAGTATATCAGGGATGGTAACCATTTGATACCTGCGCACTAAAAATGAAGGGAAGGACGAATATTTGTTGCTCTCATCTGATATTTAGAAACCACCTCTTCTCCCAAAGCTAAATAACATAGTCCACAAAATTGAAATATGAAAGTAAATGAAATGAGGACTCTTATGTACAAAAATAAACTAGAATGAGAAATACATTTTTGGAGACTTTGTAAAAACAGAATACATGGTTAAGTACTGCATGCACTATTGTTGAAGATCAAATAATGTTACAATTCAAATAAATTATGGCACAGTCGCATACTTAAAACCCAGTCGCAAAACTTCAGAAAACGGATTAGTTTACTTTGACATTTCAAAACATGCTTGACTCTATGTCAGGGCAATACCTAATAAACACAATTTTTAGCAATTGTGAAAGTCTTTTTTTGCCATCAAGAGCAAATTTTCTCTGAGTGTTAGCAATTTTAGGTACATGCAGAGTCCCTAGGCTGGAGTAGTTGAGACTGCTAAATTTTAGAGCCACAAGCTTGAATTTGTGACATCAGCTTTGGTGTCACAAAAATCAGAAGCACATTCACCAAGTTCCTCCCACAGTGGCCTCAAAGAGCTTACTTACAGCTATCTGAGTGTCTAGATCTTTAATTACATCAGCAACGGCTGTGAGCCCGGTGAAATGAGAGGCAGCCATTTTCAAAAGCTACCTGTAAATGAACAACTGGCATCAAGAACCACCCTTGCCACAGCACCATTTCAGTGCCGCAGCCTGGAACATCTTCGTCAACCAGGATCCAGGCAAACTGAATGCAGAGAGGCATATCTCCTTATCATACTGGTGAAAAATCATTATCATTCACCATGAAAAAGTTTTCATCTTTTTCATATACGACTTTTAAAGTTATTTAATGATTACAATAACAGAGACTCTTCCTATAAAATGAATATTATATTGTTAGGGATAAACTGGCAGCCTATGAAACACTACAACTGGCCAAAATTGTGGAATTTTATTTTATTTTTATTATAGATATATATTGATTTTGGAGAGAGAGAGAAACATTGATGTGAGAAACATCAACTGATCGCCTCCCACACGTGCCCCAATCGGTGACAAACCCACAGCCTAGGTGTGTACCCTGCCCAGGCATCAAACCCATGACCTTCTGGTGCATGGGACGATGCTCTAACAAACCAAGTCACGCTGGCCAGGCAAAATTGTGGAATTTTAACTTGCAGAAATCAAGACAATGGTTTTCAGAACTTGGTAAAGCTTAGCAACCAGAATGGGTATCTGCATCGGTTTTACTCTTGCCCCTACTGCTGAGTTCCTCCGCGACATACTAACTTTCTAACATGACATCTTCCCCTGGTTTACTCTAATAAAAGAAACTAACTGCACTGGTTAAATGACCAAGAGAAACTTGTTGGCCAAGAGGTGGCTGTGGGGGACAGCAAAGTATCAGGATTGCTTGTCTGTTTTTTTAAACCACATAGGGTCTGTGCTCTCTCCCTTGCCCGCTAATGCTACCACTGGAAGAATCAGGAAAGGAAAAGACTGTTAACATAGAATACAGTAGTCTACCCCCCCCCCCACCTCTTATCCAAGGTTTCATTTTCTAGTCGCAGTTAACCACAGTCCGAAAATATTAAGTGAAAAATTCAGATATAAGCAATTTGTTAGTTTTAAATTATATTCTCTTCTGCACAGCACGATGAAATCTCACGCTTCTCCACTCACTCATGTCCGGGCCATGAATCATCCCTTTGTCCGGCACGTCCACACTGTATGTGCCACCTGCAGGGAGTCACTTGGTAGCCGCCTGGGTTGTCAGATCAACTGTTCTGGTATCACAGTGCTTAAGTTCAAGTTACTCTTAGAGCAGCCTAATGCTGTCACTGTGCCGACGCCATTCACCTCACTTTGTCTCATCACGTAGGCATTGTATCACCATCTCATCTCACATCATTGAAGAAGGTAAGTACTGTACAATATGATATTTTGGGAGAGTGACCACATTCACATAACTTTTACCACACTATATTATTATAACTGTCCTAATTTATTATTAGTTACTGTCATTAATCTTTTACTGTGCCTAATTTATAAAGTAAACTTTATCATGGGAAAAGTATGTATAGGAAATAACATGGTATACATAGGGTTTGGTACTATCTGCTACAGACTGGGAGAAAATGTTTACAAACTACATTTCCCACTAGTACCTAGAATGTATAAAGAACTCTCAAAAACTCAATGATTAAAAAAAAAGGTAATTTGATTAAAAAATGGACAAAAGAGATGACCAGACAGTTCACCAAAGAAGACACATATATAGAGATGACAAATAAGTACACAAAAAGATGTTCAATGTCATTAATTATTAAAGAAAGGCAAATTAAAACTACAATGCTATAACTACATACCTATCAGAATGCCTAAAATAAAAAAAACAATGACAACACCAAATGCTGGCAAGGGTGCAGGAAGCCTGATCACTCATATACTGCTAGTGGGACTGCAACTGGTGTAGCCAGCCACTCCGTAAAACAGTTTTCAGTTTCTTGAAAACCTAAGCATGCATTGTCAGAGTAACTTACATACAGATGAACACTAAATATAACGTGGTATCCTGGAACAGAAAAAGGACATTAGGGGAAAACCAGGATCTGAATAAATTACAGACTTTAGTTAATAGTCATGTTTCAATATTGGTTCATTAATTACAACAAACGTACCGTGTTAATATAAGATGTTAATAATGAAGAAACTGGGTATATGGTATATGGGAACTCTACTATTTTTCCAATTTTTCTGTAAATCTAAAACTTTTCTAAAAAATAGTTTATTAAAAAAGAGGAAAAATACAAATATTACTGAACATAAAACAGGGGTGAATCTTAAAATATGTAAGCAGCGGAAAAAAAGCCCGTCTCAAAAGAATACGTAATACGTGATTCCATTTGTATGAAATTCTATAGTAAAACTAATCTCTACTGATAGGGCAGACTGACTGCAGAGAGGCATGAGGGAACTTTCTAAGGTGATAGAAAAATTCTGTGTCTTGAGTGGGGTAACACTTACATAGCTGCATACATTTATCAAAACTCATAGAACCAGCTCTGAGCGGGTGGCTCAGCTGTTGGAGAGTCATCCCGTATACTAAAAGGTGGCAGGTTTAATCCCGGTCAGGGCGCATACCTAGGTTACCGGTTTGATCCCTGGTTGCAGTGCATGTGGGAGCTTGTTTCTCACATCAATGTCTCTTTCTCTCTTCCTTCCTCTCTCTCTAAAATCAATAAACATATCCTCGAGTGGGGATTTAAAAAAATTCATAGAACCAGGAATTAACAATGTCTACATTTTACTGTATGAAAACTATATCCCAATAAAGTTGATTTGAAAAAATACTGAACACGCAACAACCATATGACCCAGCTTGCGGTCCTAGGCATTTATCCTAGGGAAATATTTTCACACAAAAACTTGTACATGAATGTTCATAGTAGCTTTATTTGTAACAGCCAACAACTGGAATCAGCTCAGATGTCTCTCAAGAGGTAAATGGTTAAACAAACTCTAGCACATCATGCCATAGAATTCATGTATTACTTAGCAATAAAAAGAAACAAACTAAACACACAACTTGGCTAAATCTCTAGAGAATTATGTGAAACAAAAGCCAATCCAAAAAGAGTACCTATTGTATGATTCTACTTATATATAATATTTTTGAAATGATAACATTTTAGAAATAGAGGACAGATTAGTGAGGTTGTCAGAGGTTGGGTGAGAGGGAAGTGGGTGTGGTTATAAAAGAGCAATACGAGGGACCCTTGTGGTAATGGAATTGTTCAGTATCTTGACTGCAGTGATGGATAAATGAAAAGTGATTAAGTTATGTAAGACTTAATACACACATACACAAACAAAAGTGTATAACTAAAAGGGGGAAATCTGAGTAAGATTGGTAGGTTGTATCAATGGCAATATCTTGGTTGTTGTATTACACAACAGTTTTGCAAAATGTGACCAGTGAGGAAAACTGGGCAAAGTGTACAGGGATCGTTCTCTATTATTTCTTACAACTGCATATAAATCTAAAATTGCCTTAAATTTTAAAAATTAGAACAACATATTCTCAAGGGTAACTGTGACCCTTCTTAAGAAGATCTAAAACTCAGGTGCCATAAAAGAAAAGACTGATATGTTAAATTACATAAAAATTAAAAATGTCTACATGGCAGCAAACTTAGAAAACAGTTAGAGGACAAAAGACAAACTAGCAAAAAAAATCTACAAATCAATAAATACCCAACTACCCAAAAGAAAAATTGCAAAAAGACAGCACAAGAAAAAGAAATTCAAATAGCCCTTAAAATAATAAAATAATTCTTATTCTAGTTCATAATAAAAATGCAAATTAAAACTACAAGCTACCTCTTATTCTCCATTTGGCAATGATGAAAAAGTTTTATACACATTGTGTTTGAAAATTTTAAGGAGAGTCACTTTATATTGGGGAGGCGGGGAAGGTGTGAAGAGAACAGAAGTTAGCTAGAGGTCACTATAAAGGGCTACTTAGTAGTATCTACCCAAACGGTACAAGTATCTATTGTGATCCCATAGTTTCATTTTTAGCAACTTGTATGTGATGGAATACTATACATACAAGAAATTTCAACCCAAATGTCCATCAAAAGTGATATTATTAAACAAATTAGGGCAAAACTATACAATGGAATACATTGACAAAGAATGAGGTTCATAAAAATATTATGCTGAAACTAGTCATAAAAGACCACATATTGTATGATATTTTATTATTCCATTTATATGAAATGTCCAGAATAGACAAATATATAAAGGCACAAAGTAGATTAGTAGTCACTTAGGGCTGGGAGGTTGGGGAGAGGAATAAAGATTGACTGCTAATAGTATGGGTTTTTTTTTTTTTTTAAGATTTTATTTATTTTTAGAGAGAGGGGAAAGGAGGGAGAAAGAGAGGGAGAGAAACATCAGTTTGTGGTTGTCTCTCAAGCACCCCCTACTGGGGACCTGGCCCACAGCCCAGGCATGTGCCCTGACTGGGAATTAAGCCTGCAAACCCTTTAGTTTGCAGGCTGGTGCTCAATCCATTAAGCCACACCAGCCAGGGCAGTATGGGTTATTTTTGGTTGTTTTTTGTTTTTAGGGGCGGAGGGGGGGGGCGATACTTAAAAATTAGCCCTGACTGGTGTGGCTCAGTGGATTGAGTGCTGGTCTATGGACCAAAAGGTCACTGGTTCAATTCCTGGTCTGGGCACATGCCTGGGTTGTGGGTCAGGTCCCCAGTTTGGGGTGTGGGAGAGGTAGCCAATCAGTTTCCCTTCCTCTCTTTCTCCCTCCTTTCCCTTCTCTAAAAATAAACCAACAAACAAATAAATAAATAAAGTCTTAAAAAGAAAAACTCAAAAATTAGATTGTGGTGATGGTTGCATAACCCTGAATGTACCAAAAAACACTGAATTGTACACTTCAAATGGGTGAATTGTATATGTGAAAGGTATCTCAATAAAGCTATTTTTTTTTAAATGAGAAGCTCATAAAATGCTCTCCAAGAAACATTGTTCAGTGAAAATGTAAGCTACAGAATAGTGAGGATAATTTGCTATCATTTATTAAAACACACAGATACACAATTTTAAATGCATAATCTAGTCCTGGAAAGACACATCAGAAACTAATTAACAGTAGTTGCCTCGGGTGGTAGGGGAATGGCTGTGGCAGCACCTAGGTGGTCTATAGGACCAACGTGGGAGAAAACTTACTTTTCATTGTATACCCCAAATTTTCTACTATACTTACTTTTTTTTATTGTATACCCCAAATTCTGTACTATCTGCATATATGTTACCTATTTAAAAAATTAAAAACTAGGAAAACAAAAGAAAAAAAGAAAAAAATTTAAAAACTATTATTTGGTTTGTTTCCTCTGAAGAAACAGGTAATACTGATCTCTGTTTTTAAACTATAACATGAAATATAGTGGTAACCACAAAAGTGAATCTTGACCTACATCTCACATTTTATACAAAGATAAATTCAAAATCGATCACAGATGTCAGAATGTAAAAGTATAAAATTTTTAGAAGAAAACTTAGAAGGAAATTATCATGACTTTGGCTCAGGCAGAGTTCTTAGATACAACACCAAAAGCACAATCCACAAAGGAAAGAAATTGATAAAGTGGATTTAACCCAAAATGTAAAACTTCTGCTCTGCAAAAGAAAATAAGAAAATAAAAAGATAAGTCACAGACTAAGAGAAAATATTTACAAATCACATATCTGACAAATAACCTGTATCCAGGATATACAAAGAGCTCTTAAAATTCAACAATAAGGAAACAAAAAACCCGTCCTGGCTGGGTAGCTCAGTTGGGTAGAGCACCTTCCTGATATGCCCAGATTGTGGGTTGAATCCCAGGTCAGGGAACATACAAGAATAAACCAATGAATGCAAAAATATGTGGAACAACAAATTGATGTTTCTTTGTCTCCCTTCCTCTCTCTCTAAAAATCAATAAATAAAAATTTTTAAAAAGAAAACACAAAAACAATTTAAAAATGGGCAAAAGGTGTGAAGAGATCCTTCACCAAAGAAGATAATATAGATGGCAAATAAACACATGAAATGATGCTCAATATTCATTAGTCATTAGGGAAATACAAATCAAAACCACAATGAGACACCACTAAATCCCTATTAGAATAGCTAAAATTAAAAAAATAAAAATAAACAAGAGCTGGAGGGGAGTGGAGCAACTGAAATAGGCCTACATTTCTGATGTGAATGTAAAATGATGCAGCCCCTTTGGGAAAGTCTGGCAGTTCCTTATAAAGTTAAATGTGTACTTATATGACCCAGTAATCCCACTCTCAAGTATTTACCCTAGAGAAATGGAAACTTCTATTTATACAAAAATTGATATGTAAATGTTCATAGCAACATTATTTGTAATTGCCCAAAAACTGGAAACAATCCAGATAGATGTCCTTCAATTTGTGAGTGGATAAACAAACTAGGTTTATCTATACAATGGAATACAACTCAGCAATAAAAAGAACAACTGGTACATGCAACAGCATGAATAATTCGAAATGTGTTATGCTAAGTGAAAGATGCAAGACTCAAAAGGTCACTTACTGTATGATTCCATTTATATGACACTCAGGAAAAGGCAAAGCTATATGGATGGACAACAGATCAGTGGTTGTGAAGGAGTTGGGTGGAGGAGGGTTTCTCTACAAAGGAGCAGAGGGAAATCTGGGGTTGGGGGGGGTGTGGAACTGTTAGGTGACCTGATTGTTACGGTGCTCACATAACAGTGCAAGGGGGGATCCAAAAAAACCCAGAATTTACTTATACAAAATTGTGTATTTATTCTTACATGTTTAAACTTCAGTCACCTTTCAAAATACTCTCCATTTGATATATCTACTGAGACTTTTTTTCATTGCTTAAAACAGTTTTTGAACTTGTTTATTTTGATGGCTTTTAGTGCCTCTGTCGTTTTTTGTTTCACTTCTTCTACAACAGCAAAACATTTTCCTTTGAAGACTTTTTCCATTAAAAAAAAAAAAAGGCTCTCAGCATTAGATAGGGTGGACAGGTTGGGCGGGGCATGGGGGTCATGCCATTTCTGGTCAAAGAATGCTGAACACTCTGGGCCCTGTGGGCAGGTGCACTGGTAAACCACCCATCATGAAACAGTCAAACGCGCTGAGAGACTTCAAAAAAAATTCAGTGAAGCCAAACTCAACCTCTCACAACAAAGCCAGCTGATACACTGACACAGATGGGTCCCTAGAACACTCACCTCGCAGGGGAAGCTTGTACTACAAGGGGCCTACCCTCCAGAAGATAATTCCGGGTTTTTTTGGGTCCCCCCTTGTATATGCTCGTTACAACTCATGGAACCATACCCCCCGAAATAATTTTATGGTGTGCAAATGTAAAAAACAAAATATCACAACTTAATCAGAATGGTTAATGGCTCTCCATTCATTCAAATGACCTGTTCACTGCCAACTTTCATCAAGCCCTACTGTGGACGACGCTGACCAAGCACAATGGAATGAAGTGATCATAAATAACCTGAATTCCATTATGTAATGTAGCATGGTTGCTTTTGGGCTACTCAAATTTCTAACTTTCATGTCCTTAAAATGCCAAAAGATAGGGATCTACTGCTGTGTAAAAACAGAGGCATTAACTATGGGACAATTTGAGAGAACAATTATAATAGTAAACCCTGACTAGCACCTACTATGTGGAAATCATGTGCTATGATGGGATTCACAAAGTCCAGAAAAGTCCATGCCCCAGTAATCGACATTGTATGGTTGCAAGTTTAATTAAAGACCCTAGTATATTCTCCCTCCCTGACCCCAACCCATCACATTTAAATTGTGGTTGAAAGGCTGGGGATGACAAGCCCTGCTTTTGCTTTTAGCAACTTTGTTCCTCAAACAGAAATCCAGTTGCAACACTATTACTGTATTAAAAGGATCTGATTTTTCAGAAGGTAGGAAACCAGTGGAGACCTTGCAATAGTACAAGATCTGGCCTTCTCTGGGCATCTGTTCCATTAACAGATTTTTTTTTTTTATTTTAATGAAGAAAATAAGAGAATAGAAGATCAGATTGCCTCTAACATCATTTTACCTTTGAAATGTTTAGGAACTTATTATTTACACAAAATACAGAGACAAGGGGACTACTAGCCTGATGGCATAAAAGCCCTGTGGTGAATGATCGGACTTAATGGCTGGGTTTTCTACCTGGTTGTTTATCTCCTCGCTGGCTTCATTTCTGAGCCTAAATGAACCAAAAAGAATCAATTAATTGCAGTCTGTGAGATTTGAGAGCAAGAGAAATATGGGTTTTCTCCTCTGGTTTTTGGACTAGTTTGATCCTATTTAGGTGGTTTTGACTTAATGCAAAAGTAGTACAATACAGTGGTCAAGGGCATGGGCTCTGGTGACTGTCTGGGTTCAAGTACCAATTCTGCCACTTTTTAACTTTATGTCCTTGAGCAAGTCGCCTAATCTCTTTATGCTTCAATGTCCTCATTTGTAAAATGGAGTTAATCATAGAGTATATCTCATGGGATTGTTAACAGCAATTCACAACATTTATACATCTAAAGCACTTGAAGAGTATGTGGTACAGGGTAAGCACAAAGGAGAACATGTTTTAAATGTTTGCTGATATATATGCTCCCCTCTTCTAAATGTTAGTTAGAAACATCAGTGTGTTAAAACTAAAAGGTTTCATCCATTCTGAGATGTGTTGGTGGCATTCTATAACCATTCTTACGACTATAGACATTAGGGAAAAAAAGTGGATTGAAATAAAATAGTAGTGGCAAATGGTCAGCAGGAGACTGATAAGAGAAGACCCAACTCAGAAGAGCTGGGTACTCTCCTACTTCTGCCACTGAGTTAAGTGAGTTCCCTGTGACCAGTGTTTCTACAGCAGGACCAGGCAAATTCTAAAGTTCCTTCCAGCTCTAACAATTAGTGTAAGATTTTAAATTAAACTCATATGTACAGAGTTCAAAGTTTGTCTCCTGTCTCTGACACACAGTTTCACAGTGCAGACTATAAGAACTGTTGACATGTTGCCTCCAAGGTATGTTGGTGCTTTCCCCAAAGACCTCTGATCAAAAGTAGTATGTTCCATGTTCATTTCTGCTCTAACACAATGATTTTCTGATTAGGTACTTTGAAATCCTAGTATAATAATTCAATCAATGCTGGAGCCACCAAGGAGTGAAATAAGTACATTTTGTAAATGAAGGTGAGGATATTAATCCAGTAATAAACTATCATTGAAATATTTAGTACTCTGAAATGGTGGCAGGGGCATGCTTATTAGCCTCATAATTTGGTGTAAGTTTTAATCACTTGTATACAGCGTAGGCACTTGCAAATAGCATAGGCTAACTCAATGGGAAAAAGTACTTTCAGCTAAGTTATCCCAATTTCCTCAATCACCTAGTCCATATTACAATTGTAAAGTTAATCTAATTTAAGCTCTTGTTTCAAACTGGTCTTTCTTGGCCTCCTAAAAAGTTCTGTTCAGCCCTAGCTGGTGTGGTTCAGTGGATTGAGTGCCAGCCTGCGAACCAAAGGGTCACTGGTTCGATTCCCAGTCAGGGCACATGGCTAGGCTACAGGCCAGGTCCCCACTGGGGGGCATGTGAGAGGCAACCACATGCTGATGTTTCTCTCCCTCTCTTTCTCCTTCCCTTCCCCCCTGTCTGAAGTTAGATAAATAAAATCTTAAAAAAAAAAAAAAAAGTTCTATTCAGGTCCTGTTTTTTCCTATCTTGAATACCTATGATTCTTTAAAAACACAGAAATTTAAAAAGAAAAGTAATAATAAAAATTAAAACACAGAGATTTAGATCTTCTCAAATACCACACTACATAAGTACCCTAATAAGTTATAGTACTTGACATTCAGTCTAACGGAGGAGGGGTGAGTTCATTCAACAATATGCTTTGGAAAACTACTACTTCTACTTTGCTGATGGGCAAACAAACATGAAGAGGGATGCACATAGAAAAGTAGAAAAAAATTTTAATCGAATACATAACTGGGTTTGACTAGGGCTGGGCCACTTAATACTGTGCGATTTTAGACAAGGCACTTAATCTCTGAACCAACTTCCTTATCTGTACAATGGGACTAACAAGTACCTAATCTGCGGGGCTGTACGTGGTAATTAAATGATCTAAGATCTGATACTTGGTGTGGTGAACAAACAATAGAATATACAGATGATGTACTATAGAACTGTACACCTGAAAACTATATATAATTTTATTAACCAATGTCACCCAAATAAAGTCAATAAAAATTTAAAAGTACTTGAAAGTGCTTATGACGGTGCCTGGTTAGCCTGAGTAGGTGTCAGTACCAGATATTACTGAAGAAAAGTGACTGGTCCATGTCTCTCTGCCAACACTATCTAAAAGCAGCCATCTCCAGTAAATGTTTATGCTAAAAATACAGGATACAGCTTACTTATCTGCAACTTTTTAAATGGCTTACTACATCTTTTGGGGGAGAGACGGGCTTCACTGAAAGGTTTCTTAACTGGTAGTGACATTTACTGTATCAATGTGAATATCGTAACAAGACTAAAAATAAAGTAGTAGAATCTGTAAAAATTCCTCCTTAGGTTTGAAGTTGGAGCAGATTCTAGAAGCATGTTTTCAAGGGATATTAACCAAGCATCTTCTATTTGCTATGTACAGCAGGGTATTGCACCAAATCATGATCTAATCAGCATTTCTTCACTGTGGTCCTAAGCCCTCTTTACACGTAAAAAAGGAATTTAAAAAAGATTATCTTTCGGGCCCTTCCATCTCTGACATTCTTTTATATGAAATGTAGAGATCTGTACTCAGTCAGGGTTGAGTGGAATGGAATTTAAAGCACTTGTCAAGTATATAACTGAGCTCAAACTGCTTCAACTTCACATCAGAGCTTCGCAAGAATAATGCATGTGGCCTTCCTAGATTAAGTATCTGACACAAGAAAAGCTGCCAAAAGCCAAGTAGGCAGAGCGAAGGAGTCGTCTTCTCCTGAATACATTCTTTACCACTCTGGGTTCAGAGAATATGAGGAAAAAAAAAATGGATCTCTGTATTTTTCCAAACGAGGAAAGATCCCTTTCCCTTAGAGGTAGATCTCACAGTCATGCCCCCTGATACTCTCTGCTTTTAGAAGTTCGGGTCCTCACAGCCCTGTTTCCTCAGGTACTTCGGAGTCTCCAAGCCCCGATCCTGTCTCCATAGAAGCCCGTCTTCCCTGCCGGCTCCTGTTCCTCCCGAACCCAAAAGTTCTCTTACTGTTTCTGCCCCTCAAGAATCTACGTCTTTCTGCTGTCTCTGAATCCTTAGCAGCCCGGGTCCTCACTGTCCCACTTCTGCCTCTTAGGAGCCCTAGTCCTCACAGCTCCGCTTTTACCTTTCAGGAGCCGGTGTCCTCACGCCCCGTTTCGTTCCGACCACTCTCTCCTTTTAGGAGCGCGGGTCCTCACAATCCTGCCCCTCTCAGACCGCTTTCTCTCAGGTGCCAGAACTCACATCTGTTCACGTTTCCTAAGTCCCGCCTGGAGCCCGAGTCCCCAGAGCCGCGTCTTCTCCGATTCCCGATCCCCTCAGTCCCATCCCAAGAGCCTGATTCCTCGCAGTCCTGTCTCAACAATCTGCCTCTTCAAACACTGACCCACTGTGGGTCTGGGTCCTGACTCCCTCCTCCCGCTCTTTTTCCTCAACTGCCAGGGCCCAAGACTCACAGGCAGCAGGTCTATCTCCCCATGATATGCAGAGACTGCCCCAGTGAAGCGATCGTCTCGGCAGCCGGTCAGACTGCTCGGCCCTCCCCGAGTCCTTCCGGCACCGCTCCCCGCCTCCAACCCGGAAACGCGCGGCTCTTCCGGCCGGCGGGCGCGCGCCTGAGTTGCGCAGGCGCAGATTGCATTCCGACACGTGGTCGCTGTTCTGGGTTGTTGCCGAGCTCCCGCGGTGGAGATTTTTTTCCTCCGGGTGTTGACTGGAAACGTGGGCGGGCTCAGCGCCTTCAACGGGAGCTTTACGAACTCTGCCCTAGCCGTTTCTTCCCGACTCCGCCTGTCCTGACTATCGCCACCATGACCGGTAATTGACGTCCTCGTATGGGTTAGAGGTCGCCATTTTTGGTTGGTGCCTTAGCCTTGGTAGCAGGACGGGGATAATCACCTGGAACGCAGCACCCCGTACGTATCCTGTTGGAACCAACAGTGGAGTTGGCAGCACAAGAACCTAGGGACAAGAGAGACCGGTTGTGCCTGTGAATTGGCAATTAATAATAATTGAGTGCTCAGTATCTATCAGGAATTTTGCCGAACTCTTCATCTCTTGATAAATCATTTTACGGTTTAAAGGAAACCTGTGAGCGATAAAGCAAGGTCCTAGGTAATAACTTGTGAGTTTCAACTCGAACTAGAATTCTCACTTCAAATCTTGAGCCTGTCCTTTACCCGTTACACTGATTCTGTCCATTATTTCACCTGTAAAACCCTTGGTGAGAACTGCTGCATTTAGCAGACACTAGATAGTAAACGAGACCCGATGCCAGCCTAAGTCCCTTCTGGAGCCCAGGTCCCCACAGTAAAATGACGAAACATAAAGGAATGTAAAAAGGGTCTGTGACAGCCCAAAGCAAGTGACTGCAATTGCCCGCGAGAATCAAGAAGAGCTGCCTCCCACGTGGATTTGTGCAGCAACCTGCCCTCCCAGTCGTTATATTTTCCCATTCTTATTCTCACCAAATTCCCAATCCACCCTTGTACTGTCAATCCAGATTCACGGAATAGAGGCCCCTTCACCATTAGCCTCCAAGCCATCTTCCTAGTCTTTTAATTTTTCTGCTTTTTTTTGTCTTTAAAACATTTTTTTTCCCTTTAACATTTATCCCCCTTGAACCCTCTTCCCTCCCCCACATCATCCCCCCATCTTCTAAGTCTCTCTTCCCGGGCCACTGCTGTCTTCACTCTCCCAATAGTCTGGCGTACCATTTTTTATTTTTGCACCCCACTTTTTTTAAAGGTCCGGTTTAAATGTACATTCATTCAACAAACAGAGTACTTATTGTCTGCCAAGCTTTCTGCTAGGTGCTGAGTACTAGTAGATAAGATAGTATTCCCCTTTAGAGAGTTTACAGCCTGAAGTGGGGAACATTACTAGCAAGTACACAAAAGTGTAAAAGGAAAGAATACCAGAATAAACTAGATTTAGCTAGCTGGGTGATGGGAGGGCCCTGAGGTAGGAAGCAGTTTATTCAAGGACCAAGATGGCCAGGTTGTCTGGAGCTTAATAGGTGATGGGGAGAGTTGCAGGCAATGAGGTTGGACAGGCATGCAGGAGTCGGCTCAGGCAAGACTATGTAGGCTATGGTGGGAACATAGAATTTTACTTATTGCCCAATGGGAAGGCATTGGAGGGTTGAGCAGAGGTCAAATGATATGTTTTTAGGAGATAGCTGATGGCGTCCCCAACAGACACAGTTGAGAGAGCCTATCTAGGCTTCCACCAGTTTATACTACACATCTGCTTCCTATATAGTATAATCTGTTTGTGTGACTCCTTATCTTGCATCTTCTACTTTGTTCCGGTCAGGGACTTCCATGTATTATTATATTGAGGGAAGTAAAATGCCTAACAGTCTATATATGCACATATATATTTAATCTTCACCCAAGGACTTGCTTATTGATTTTAAAGAGAGGGGAAGGGAGGGACAGAGAGAGGAAAGGAACAAAAATTGGTTGCCTCACGCACACCCCCTATGGGGACCAGATCCATAACCCCTGAATGTGTTCTGACTGGGTGGAATTCCACCTATGAGCTTTCAGTTCGGGCCAGGGCTCAATCCACTGAGCTACACCAGCCAGGGTTTTTTGGTTTGTTTGTTTTTAAGTTAATACATATAAATATGCGGCCATAGAAAATATATAACACTGGGTCTTATGTACACACGTGTGTGCTCTTTATTACATTTATGGTGTCATGCGCTATCCAACACCTTTTTCACTCATTTTTATATCTGTTGGTAAAGATCTACACCATTCCAAGTGCAGTATTGCTTTTTTTCCCTTCGGTTTGCAGTATCATGCTGTACCTTATTCTGCATCGCTTATCAGTGTTTTTTGATGTCTTAATCTTTGAAACTGCAGCAGATAGCATTCCACTTCATGAACACACCCACATTCTGCTAATCCTTTGGGGTGAAGGCTGGGCAGCTTCGTTTTTCACTCTTAACAATGATCCGTACCTCCAGTGCTCTTGTCTTGGGGCAGGTTCGAGTGCCATAAGTTTGTTCATTTTTCATTTTAGTAGGGTGGGATTCGAGTTTCCTCAGATAGGTACTCGCACCCCCTAAGAAGTAAGTTTTCCTACGAAGGGGACGACAGGAGTTACCCGTTGCCGTTTAGGGCGCTCGATTCTCCCGTAACCTTTCTTTCCCGCCCCTCCCCCAAGGGTACGCGGGCACTTTCCCAGCAGGCACTGCGCTATTTGCATGTCAATTCAGGCTTTTGCCTTTGCTTATAAATAAAAATCAAAAGATAAAGCTTACTCTCCCTGTAAAGACTTCCCTCTGGCTTGGGAGGTCTTGACATTTCCTCAATTTCTAGAGCATGGAATACGAACCTGCATACACTTTTTTAAATTCACTTACACCATAATAGGTACTCGCCAAGACTGCCACCCTGCTTTCGAGAACTATTGAGCAAAAAGGGCTTCTGTCGTGAGTGGCACACGTAGGGCAGCTTGATTGCTCTACGTGCGGAATCGACATCAAGAGATTTCGGAAGCATAATTTTTTGGTACCTGGGCAGCTAGTGATCGTTGGTCCTAGCGCCTGCTACAGCAGTGTTTCTAAAAGAAAAGGCTATTTTTCTTATTCTTTGTTTTTGAGTTGTTGGCGTTTGTATCTAACGCTTTACCACGCTCCACTTCGCGCGCATTCTGATAATGTTTACGTGTTTCAGTTGCAGAAGATAAGGTTTTCCCCGTACTGCCGCATTTAGGAAATTTAAATTTAGGTGAGTTAATCCTTGGGTGTATGGATATAGCGGATCAGTGCTTGTGTTTTGTGCAATTAGAAGGAATGTGTGTAATCACCATGTGAAACTTGAACTTTGTTTCATTTTGCTGGTTACACATATCTGTTCTTAAAGCTGAATTGATTTTTTCTTTTTTTTGTAATTTTTGTTCTTTAAAAACATGGCAATAGTTTAAAACACCAGTTAAGTAGCACTCTTACTGCTAGTAGCAATAACCTTTCTGGGCAATTCAAGATTTAAGATATTTCATCCCCTGATATGTATCCTCCTATGTAAAATTATGTTTAGGATATTTAGCAGTAAGGGTATGTTCATTCAAACAGTAAATGTATAGTATACTCCAATAGACTCAGTGTCTGACTTCACAAGGCTTAAGTTTAGTAAAGGGAAAGACAAAGGGAAGACAGAGCTGAACTGGGCTCGGAGTAGGATGTCTGAGAAAGCTTTCCTGAGGCAAAAAGACTTTGAAGCTAAAACCTGAAGAATACATAGGAGACAACTAGGCAGAGTGGGAGGGAAGGACTGTTTAAGTAAAGGCAAAGCCTTGAGGGTGGAGAACATGCTGCAGTCTAAGACAGGCCAAAATGGCCAGAGTGAAACCATCCACTTGGCAGGACACAGGGAAGCCAGAAGATTCCACTGAGGCTGGGATGTTCCTTGCAGTGCTTTTCATAAAGCAGAAGAAATGAAAAATTACCTACAGCAGGTATCAGCAAAATTTTTCTGCAAAAGGCCAGATATATGTTTAGGGTTTTGTGGCCATATCATGTTTGTTAGACACTCCGCTCAGATGGAAAGCGGCAAAACATGATATATAAACAATTGGGCATAGCTGTGTTCCAATAAAACTTTATTTATGGATGCCAAAATTTATTTTTTAAATATTTATTTATTTATTTATATTTTATTTTATTTTTTTTAGAGAGAAGAGGCCCAGGAAAGAGAGAGAGAGACATTGATTTGTTGTTCCACTTACTTATGCATCCATTGGTTGATTCCTGTATGTGTACTGACCAGGGATCAAACCCACAACTTTGGAGTATCAGGATGAGGCTCCAACCAACTGAGCTACCTGGCCAGGGCTTGAAATTTGGATTTCATGATAATTGTCACATACCATGAAATAGTATTCTTTTACTTTTTTAAAATATAGAATTCATGCAATATATTTCTCTTCATTTGCATGTTTTACCCACAACTTAACATCCTTTTTACAGGCTGAATTCAGCTGATATAATCAAAATTATTTCTTTCACCCAAATAGGAAAAATTCAAAATTGTAAACATGTAGAAAAACAAATTAAAAATGATGATGAAAATAAGTCACTCCTCAGTAGGAAGTGTCTGTATAATATATGTCATTTGGAACAGAATTTCTTTATAGGTCAGACACATCTTTCTACAGTGCTTTTCTTCCCGCCAGTTTTATTTCATTCCAGTCATCCCAGCCTCCTATGAAGGATCAAAGGGATGTTGGTCTTGATGGAAATCTGTTCTTTCAGATATCGTTGGTACCTGTTGGCCAGGAGTTAAGGGGAGACACCAACCTGCCGGAACCAGGGAAGCAAGGGCCTGTCTCAGCAGCACCAGCTAGTGGCTGGAAGCAGAGGGCGTGCGAGCAGGGATGCCAGGCCAGGTGGGCCCCGTCAGGAAACAGCAGCAGTTGTAGGTGAAAGGAGAACTTCTGTAACAGAGTGAAATGCTTGCTCTTTCTGACTCTGTCTTAATTCTAGCCTGCATTTTCCCCCTGGCCTTCAGGCAAATAGCTCATGCTATAGGTATACTAATTGTTAGAGAAATTCTGCTTGAGACTTGAGCTTTTGGCAAAGATTTGTAGGAGGCAAAGTAGCAGGGGACATTGGACTGGGAACGATGACATTTAGAGATTTTCCACTCTTCTTTGGATCCCTGTAGGGATCTCTGAGGTCGTCTTGATGGGAGGATGGGGAACAAAGCTAGTAGCAAATGCCACAAGGGGTATGACACCTGTCCTGCCTGTCTCCATTTTACATAGATATAGTCAGTCTGAGTTACGAGAGAGTGGTAGCATGGTGAGGTCAAGCAGTGAGTTGTGCCCTCTCCACATCTGAGTCTGAGCCCAAGGTGGGGACCTCTTATTCTCTGTGATTTCCCTCATTACTGCGAATCCTACGTATATCTGGGTGGTATGGAATGTGGGGTCTTCTCTGGAGATGCAGGCAGAACAAAAGATGAGAGAAAGATTCCTACCAAGCCAGCAGTACCTGTCTACTCACATCCTAACACTATGGGAGACCAGGCCAGGCCCAGGGATTTGCTGGCGTCAGGGCGATGGGCCTCAAGTCACCGAGGTTTAGGACCTCCCTATTTGTCTTTGAATTCTGCTTTCCACAAGCATTTAGGATCTAATTCTAGGGCTGCAGAAGGTCTCTACACTTCAGCTTCCTGACCCAGAAGGCAAAAGTACTCTTGATTTTTTTTTTTTCTGCAAACCTTTTAAAATGTGAAAACCGCCCTGGCTGGTGTGGCTCAGTGGATTGAGTGCCAGCCTGCAAAACAAGTGGTTGCCAGTTCGATTCCCAGTCAGGACAAATGCCTGGGTTGCAGGCCAGGTCCCCACTGGGGGTGCTCAAGAGGCAACCACGCATTGATGTTTCTCTCCCTCCCTTTCTCCCTCTCTTCCCCCTCTCTAGAAATAAATAAATACATATTTTTTAAATGTGAAAACCATTTTTGGGTTCTCAGGGAACAACCATAGTTTACTGGCCCCTGAACTACAAATTCAAGAGCAGGAAGAGCCTGGTCAAAGCAACTATCAGATATCCACACAGTGGAATACTATGTATTCATTAAAATGTTGAAGCAGGCTGGTGTGGGTTGAGCATTATCCTGTGAATGGAAAGGTTACAGGTTCAGTTCCCAGTCAGGGCACACACCTGGGTTCCCAGTTGGGGGCCTGCGAGAGACAGCTAATTGATGTTTCTCTCACACATCAATGTTTCTCTCCCTTTCTTTCTCCCTCCCTTCCCCTCTCTCTGAAAATAAATAAATAAAATTCGTTTTAAAAAGAGAAATATATTTAAAAAATAAAATGTTGAAACAGCTTTCAGCTTTAGGCTTGAAGGAGGTATAGGTGCAACTTTCTTCAGTCCTTCTGAATCTGGGTTCATCAGATACCAGCTGCCTGCACCGTGCTGCTGAAGTTTGACCCCAGTAAGACCAAAGTCATGCACCTGAGGTGCACTGGTAGGGAAAGCAGTGCCATGTCTGCCCTGGCCCGCAAGATCAGCCCCCTGAGCCTGTCTCTAAAAAAGATTGGTGATGACATCACCAAAACAACCAGTAATTGGAAGAGCCTGAGAATTATGGTGAAACTGACCATTCAGAACAGACAGGCCCAGATTAAAGTAGTGCCTTCTCCCTCTGCCCTGATCATCAAAGCCATCAAAGAACCGCCAAGATACAGAAAGAAGCAAAAACACATTAAGCACAGTAGAAATACCACTTTTAATGAGATTATTGACATTGCCCAATAGATGTGTCACTGATCTTTAGCTAGAGAACTCTGGAACCATTAAAGAGATCCTAGGGACTGCCCAGTCTGTGGGCTGCAGTGTTGATAGCTGCCACCCTCATGGCATCATAGATGACATCAACAGTGGTACAGTGGATGCCCAGCTCATTAAGAACTACAAAGGGAAATATTTCAGTTACAGCTTATTTGACAACCAATAAAATGCTGAAACAGAAGAATTTGTGATAATGGTTCACCTCTGTTGGAGCACTTATTAAGTGCCAGGTCCTGTATTAAGCACTTAGATGCATTAGCTCCTGTAAATCATACAAACCAATAAGGTAGGTAGTAGTAGTATGTTCACTTTAAGGTAAGAAAACAGACACTCTGGGAGGCCCAGATCACATAACAGAGTATCAAAAGGTGAGGCCAGGTCTTCTGACAGGAATGAGTTGCTCTGACTGCACAGATTGCCCAAGAAAAATGTCAATTATAGTGAAATCAGGGAAGATTTATTGGGAAAGTGAGGTTTCTTTTTCCTTTTGTTTATCCATATTACTAAAAATGAAGTACATGAACAGGTTAGAGAAATTATGAGGACATATGGTCACTGAAATACAAATGATGAAAAATAAAATCAGACTCCCATTATCACATATTGTATGATTCCTTTTATAGGAAATATCCAGAAACTGCATATCTAAAGAGACAGAAAGTAGGATTAATGGTTGCCTGAGGCAGGAGGTGGGAATAGGGATTGACTACAAATGGGCATGAGGGATATTTTGGGGGTGAAGGAAATGTTCTAAAACTAGATTACAATGGGAGTTGTACACTTAGAGTGGGTGAATTTTATATTACTTAAATTTTAATAAAGCTTTTTTAAAAAAATCAAGAGTGGAAAAAAAATTAAACATCAAGAGCTAGAAGGAGAAAAGTTCACCTAGCTAAGAGCCTGAGAATGTAAAATCAATTTATAGAATAAGTTCTCTAATTTAGACATTTGACCTTAGCAGATTTCCTGCATGCTGTGCTTCTTTGTGTTAGCTGATCATGTCAATGACTCACTCATTTGAAACCTCTTCCCAACTCGCCTGAGTTAACATCCTGTGAGTCTCAGTGGATCCACCACCATCTTTGTTCTCAGGGCTCCGGCCATACTAGTCTTCTGTCAGTATCTGAAGTCACTACTTGTCTTGCCTCACGGCCTCTAGGAAATTGTCTCCTCTGCCTGGAAATGCTGTTTCTCAACAGCATTTTCCCCATTCCCTTCTCCCAAAGTGGCTAACTCCTCATTCTCCGTATC